TCTATGTCTAGCAATAATATGATGTAAGAACATGAGATCCCTACAAGTAGGTATTTTTGTTCACAATAAATAAGCATATGATTCACATGAAGTTGAAAAAATTGCATGTTGATGACTCTCTTGCTCCAAATAATGTTCAAAAACTCTTCCGGTAGACGTTTGCGGAGTGATATAGGTTGCAGGTTTAAATCACATTCCGCCACATTCATCTCAAAGATTAAGTTACCACATCTCCTAACCATCCCTTGGAACATGTAGCATGCAGAGCTTGAAGAGTAACGCGAGAAGCATCAAGAGATCTCACCTTTATGATGAAAGTGATAGTTGAATATAGAGTTTCAGACTCTAGAGATAGACAATTTATTCCCCAAGAAAAATAACATATGAAGTTTGACTTCTTACACCCATTTGTTTTTGTACAAATATCTTCTACATCAGGCCTCATAAGTTTGTACATTCTTACAAACTAGCAAAAATAGCTTAATTTGTACACGCACCCAAAGTTGGTATGTACATTTTGCATAAAAAGTCATTTTATTGGTTTGAAGTGTCCAATATGTCTCTATGCTTCGTCTAGAAGATAACCTCTAGCGACGGATGCTTTAAGCAAGTACGAAACTCTCCCATCTTCCATTTCACGATGAAGAAGTCGCTCTTCACAGACGTAGCGTTAGGAAAAAACGTCTCCACAAACATATCATTTGCAAACACCGTCACCAATCCATTGCACAATGAGCGAATATTATACATTCGGTCCAATAGAATTGATCACGTTTCATCGACGGACAATTTGAAGGTTGTTTCCTCAACAAACTTACGCAAAGGTGTGTCGGTGGTGTACAGTTTGTGGAAGTCATGGTATTCGTTCTCGACCTTCTCAATGTCGTTCTCACTCCACCACTTTGCAAGATGAGCTCGGAATGGATCAATGAAGTCAATGAGCAGACTTGTGCGCATGTGAACAATTCTAATGGAATCACGGGTGATGAATCTTCATTGAGGGCACGGTTATTGTTATCACGAGATGTTTGACAATGAAAGCAATGATAATGATAATGCAATAAGTAGTTAAGTAAAGAGAAAGAGTGGGTTTGCGAGTACAGTGTTGGTTGTACTCTGAGGAGCGGTGTGCGAGACGGACGGCTAAGCCCCCTTAGTTTGTACATAAGACGTACTTTATTTTGTACAAATGTAAAGCTTTTTTTAGAAAATGTACAAACTTATGAGGCTTGTTCTACACGCTCTCCAAACGCTCCCAACGTGTCTTCTTACAACTACGATTCCACACTTGGATTCCATATAATACTATCTCCAACACTAAGCTTGTAAATAAAAAAAAATTACAACTCCAAGTCACTAGGTGAGATCTTCTACACAGATTTAACAATAAATATGGAGATGTGTAACCACCTTCTACTCTCTTTTGCATGCAAAGTGTCCAACTAAAATCATTAAAAAAATCAATATCTAGAGTACTATAATTCTTCATCTCTTCTAATTGTAGATCCTTGTAATAGAAATAAAACTTAATTCTAGATCCTAATATCATGATTTTAGACTTCTTCATATTTAACTTCATCTGATTTTGAGTACAAAATCTAACTAAAGTGTATAAGTGTTTCTATAAACTAATTGCATCACGTGCTAGTAATATGATATCATTTGCATAAAAGAGAGCTTTGATGACAAAGTTTTCAAGTTTGACATCTTCACTATCACATACCTTCAACCATTTTTTGATATCATCTATAAAAATTCTAAATAGAGTAGAAAAAAAAGTATAATCTTAAATCATTCAATGGTACTCAAAAACTCTTTAGTTTAAAAAATGTTGATCTTGGTCCGAACAGAATAATATAAAGTGGCCACAACAGATATGATATCAAGTGATACTCCACTAGCATGCAATTGTCATGCGAGTATGTATCATCATACAATCTACATTGTTAACATGTCATAATCACAAACACACATAAGTAGAAATAAGAGCATAGACATACACAAATATACCACTCTATTTTTGAGTGAAAACAATTCGTGCAAACTCCACTAGTTTCAAACACAAAGATTCACATCAAATCGAGCCAAATTCACTTCACACCTCAGAAACTACAAGTTGAAGCTAACGGGGTACCATATCCAACTTATAGAAAGATACTCCAACACTTAAAGACTTAATTGGAAGAACTTATAGTTCTTGGAGTACGAGCGACTATACTCTCCAACGAGAGTGGAACTTATCTAGGCTCTACCTAGGATTAACTCAACTAGAGTTAACCCCAATTCAATGCTCATTATAGACAACACATATATACATGACACAAAAGCTTGTTTAAAATTGATGAAGGTGCAAAACAAAACTTTTCCATTGCACTTAAATTTCTGCCACAAAACACGCAAGGCCAAGATATGGTTAATGGTGTTGTATGTATAGCAAAAACCTGCTTGGAACCGTGCTCTTCTTTGGTGAGATTCAGTCCATGCTGAACTTTGACTCCATCAATCAGTCAAACAACTTGACAAAAACACTACCTACCATGATAGTGCGATAGTTTGTCATCAAATACTTCATTATTAATTTGTGAATATGAACAATCTTTCATAGATATCAAGTTGAAGGCTATCATACATAGCAGCATTTTCTAACCAAGGATATCGATCACTCCTTGTCAAAAAGCTTTTCTTGGAAGTGAAATTCGAGCCTTCTTAACTGATGTTGCCTGTAACTTCTCACAATCTCCTCAGAGGATCAAGTGACAACAGTGCAAAATTCAATTTGCTATTAAAAAGCTCATCAAGCAGTTCATTCTCTTCTTGTGCTCCATCCAATTCCGTGATGGAATGCAAGAGTTTGACTCCTTATCTACACTAAGTGCTTTCATGAGATTATGTAGAACAGCGATTCGGTGGGAATTACCCATTCGCCTTAAACTTGCATGGTTGTTTGCTGGTTGGCTCCTGTCTTCATGGAGAATATACAGAATTACATTCTGAGAAATTCTGAGAGGGTACACATTTTATTCTTTGGGGTTACCAGGTAATTACCGGGTAACCTATTTTGCTCTACATTTATCTTACCTTTACATTACCCTATAGTCAAACCTCTAACTTTTTTACACTTTTACCGAGTAACACTAAAAGGTTACTTACCTTGCTGAGGTCTAAGTACAGGTTTCCATCTACAAACCAGGAGTTTCCCTCCCCACTTAGTGTAACCTAAATTAGATCCGTAAAGAAAGAAACTCTGAATCGGTACAGAAAACACTTGTCATCGGCATTTCTTTGTGTATCTACTTTTTAAAATGGCCGAAAGATCATTGATCAGTAACGGCGACTTCGTTCTAGTCCGGAGCTCAGTGTGTAGGATCTAAAGATCTTGATGGAAAATTGGAAGTCTCCCACTAGTCCCAGGGATCTAGCCGAGAAGTTTAGTGAAAATATGGATATGGTGCCACAGCTGTAGCGACTTTAGGAGGGCATAAACTTTTATGCAGAAAGAAGTTCAACCTTCGTGTCGACAAGTGAGCGGAATTTATTATTACATGCTCGAAATTTTCCGTCATAAGGGAAGGACATAGTCCTGGGCTTTACTATCAATGATAGTAGGCCTTGTGATCCTGTGATGATAGTCTATCATCACAGGATCACAAAGTGCAGTTTTAACTCTTGGAGTACAGTACACCACTTCCATTTAATCTGATAAAAATTCATGGCCATCTATCACCTTTGGCTAGTGTGCTCCGTATGCACTAGCTGCCAGATCAGGTACAGGAGGGTGCGTGATCGGAGGAGATTATTGATAGATGGTGGATGAAGAAGATATTTGCCAGGGCAGGCTTAAGACAAAATTACGAGGACTCAAAAATGGGAGTACTTGACAAACATATGTCCTGCAGCAACGCCGGAAAATCGACAAGACAGACCTCTCAGCTGTGATGGGGGATTCTTCCCACTAATGAGCTTCCTATTGAGATAGTGGCTGGTGGATGGATTTAGTCTTTTCAAAACTAGGCTGCTGAAGCCCATCACGGCTTCTCCCCCTCATTAACATTTCCAGCTGACATCCTTCCCAGTGTCCATTCGAGTCAAAATACTTCTCCTCAGCACTTTTTGTGAATTTCAATGCACCTAACAGCGAGGTTACCTCTGTTCATGCTAGCTGGTACAAGCTACAACAGCCGGCTAAAATGTGCACAAATGGCCTAGCAGAAAGGGTGCACTGTTTGCTAAGAATAGACTTCTCTCTGAGTTTCCATCACCTGGATGAGAACTATGCTGACAAAAATGGGAAACAAATCGCAGTGGCTTTCTTTTTGCTATAACCAACTGCACCGAAGAAGCAGCTGATTTCCATCACCCGGAGGAAAACGATGCGGACAGAAAAGGGAAACAAATCGCAGTAGCTTGCTTGTTGCTATAACCAACTGCACCGAAGAAACAGCTAATTTCTTTGCAGATGGTGAGTTTCAAAATACACGATTTTTTACTGTGCCGATACGTGGCAATTCTTAACTTTGTAGTTCAAAGCAGATAAGGATGCCACGTATCGGCACAATTAAGAATAGCATTGGACGATATATGTCTGTGTCAGCAGCAGGAATAGGCTGGTTCACATACCCGAAGTCCCTTCTTTTCTACCTTCATGCTTCAAACGCTTGTAATGCCAACTCTTACTAAGAGTCGAAGATATTTGCGACAAAAGTAAAAGTGTCGTAGAGTTTGATTTTCTTGATAAATAAATCTCCAAGAATGTTCAATTAAAGACAACTGAAACCGATAACAAAAATCTGGATTTTTAATTCCTACTCATGGTTTCGGAAGTAGAACATGAGTTTAGACATTAATCTGTTTTGCTGATACAAGTTTCAAAAAGCGGGCAGCTGCTAAAGACATCGTGCGTATATTGTTTGCTAATCTGACCAAAATTTTCTGTCCAATTTAAAAATAAAATTGTTTTCTAACAAATTCACATGATGTGGAAGAAGGATGACATAAACATGCCAGTGCTAAAGAAAAAAGCGACACAAATCAACACAGGAAAAAACATAACAGAACCTTTGAAAAACATATCGTCGCACATAAACTTGGTAATTGGTTTAAGACCCATTAACCGGATCAAAAGGAGTTTTTGAAAACCGTCACTAGCCAAATTCATACTTCAGTATCTGCGTCTAAAGCACTTATTTAAGTGATGTCAAATGTCATCTGCGTCTTGCGAAGTTCTGCCTTCGATGACTCATGCCGTCTTATGGTACGCTATCTCTTTAAGAAGCACTCTGTATCTTGTTTCTGTAGAGCTCAGTATGTACAGATCCTTTCAAAGGTTTCACCTTTTTCCTCTGCTGCTGTGCAAAACTATACAGTGGTATTATAGACATGACAAGTTTCTTTTACAGATAAACCCAGGTCGAGACACGAAAGGGATTGCACTTGCAAGGTTCCTTCACGGCAGACGGTCGGGTATTTCGACTTCCGTTTCTACTTTCTGGCCACTGTACTTGACCCGGTTGGGACTCACAACCTGGGTATCAAGCTGTTGACAAGCCACCATTGTCTTCACATGCTCCCCTTCATCACCCTGCATGGCCGACACAGACATAGATCAGTCACCCAAAGCTTTTCGAAATAATTTCTTCCTCTGTATCTTATCAACGTTTGGTTTCGGGTCCAGCACGTAGTGGCTGTCTCTAAGGTCTCGATCCGAAGCAGACTTCTTTGGCTTAACAAGGTCCGAAGGGCCGGATATGTCTTGCCGACGCACACGAAACGAAACTTGGGATTGCCTAAAGTAACTCCCGTGAACCTGGCTAGGACAATACAAATATTTCCCATCCTTTGTGTCAAAACCGAGGAAGGGAGGGCAATGTGGGACGCGTGGTGTAGCAAAAGTCCTCCTTCCATGGGCCAGCTTACTTGTATACATGTTGACTTCGAGTCCGTGTAATCATGGTCACTTGTAGATCTGTGCAAAATCCATGAATCTAATCTTGCATGAACGTTTCGAAATCAAACAAAAGCGTAGTCCCGGGTTAGCTGAGAACTTACACAAATGGCCATGAAAACATCGTACAAACTACCCATCTTGGGCCGTCGAGATTCTGGAGGTCGACTTGTTTGAAACTCATCATACCTGGAAGAGGTACATTGTTCAGAAAAAGTAAAGTTCAAAATCCTCAATGATAAAGTTCTTACTGACCTAAGAGCTTATGAGTTATTCTTGATGGAAGGTACACCTTCAAACTAACAGCCAAGCGTGAGACCAAACTACTTCAGAAGACTAACGTTTCTTCTAAATTAAGGACCCTTAAAAAAAAGTAAGCAATATCAGATCCAACACGCCCAAGAGACGACCCCGTAAACTGAACTAGTTGCTGATAATGATCTGCTATAGAAAGACAAAACAAAAAAGTGAACCAGAATCTCTTACATGTATAAATCTCCACTCTCATAGTATGCTACTGCAACTGGAGAAGGGGGCAGCGTTTTCAGCAGCTCTTCATTCTCATCAGCAAATTCTCCGTAAGTATCGACTGAAACATAAACAGGGTACCCGGTCAACAAGGATGCAAGCTTATGTGATGACAACGAGGTTCCCATTCAAACAAGCACAACATCACGAAGCGAATCTAAATTTCTCCAAGACACCAAAATTTTCACAAAGAAAATCAAGCACTGACCTGCATGTGACTCGATAAGTTCTGAAAAATTGTACGCAACCGTGGGTGATATCAAAAACATTGCGTTCAGGGTCTGCGTGCGGAATCAGATATACGATTGTAACTTCACTTGTTTAGCGTATGCAAGAAGATGCAGAAAGTTCACGACCCTTGCAAACACCATTAACTAGTCTAGTCGTAGAGAGCATGTCATGAAATGAAATAAAGTTTCCTAGATGGCAATTGACACGAGAGTAAAGTAGTGACAAACCCAGTAGTAGAAGAAAGCAGCATGCTGTGCGAAAAATCTGTCTCCCCATTCAAGATCTCCTCCAAGTGATTCCATTATTTTGAGATGATGCATTTCATTCCACTCCTGATACATCAAAATATCACACAATGAGGCCAACCAGCTTGCAAAATGTGAAGAATGAGTTCTGAATCGCTAAAACGAAAACATTAACAAATGTCAATGGCATCTACCTCTGCAAAGTGGACTTTGCGCACTTCTGCTCCTGAACGCCACCTGAAATCATCCAATGGCAAAATGATCTTAAGCAAAATATCTTCATGCAGAAGTATTTGGATCAAATGTTTGTAGCACGTAAAAATAAGCTACTAAACTAATAATAATACAACTATCCTGATCACTACCTCTTCGTCAGCATTGTGCTTTAGTTCAGACTTGCTTGGCAAGTCTACTTTTTATTTGTAATCTAGCTCGGACTCAAGAATATTCTAAACGTCGGTTAGAATATTACGACTAAACTAGTGATTCAGAAGACCTTCCCATCGGACAAGGAGCAATATGACGTAGTATATAGTTCTTCATATGAGTTCTTGGGTTCTTAGTATGAGCTTGAAAGGGTTTCATACCAGCCAAGCGTTTCGTACAGGTGGAGCATAGAAATATATCTGTTACTTGCCGTTAAGAATAACACCAGATGCTCACAACGTTTTCCACAACAGACGGATGTCTGCATGATGTCTCTCAGTAATAGTAACATTCAAACAAAGGAATTAAGAACATCGAAATTGTACAATCCACGCATTTCGACAAAAGACGGCATTGTTGTGAGCATATTTGTATTTTTGTTGTGAGGATACGAGAAGTAGGGCATCCGTGCGACAGTTTCTAAAAACCAAAAACGCTGAATTGGCCTGTCCTCGAATATCACGTCCAGCATCTGCGGCAAGACACAAATTCAGAAGAAGTGACAGATGACCAGTATCTGCAATCTGACACTGTCTTCATATCCAATAATTACAATTATTGAATATGATTACAATATCTAAGATTTACATCGGCAGAGGATAGCAAACACCAATTAACAAGCTCGAGGGAAGCAGGGAAGGAGGAAAGAGGCGATGAATATTTACGACTTATATACAATATTCGAGAACGAAGGTTCTCATTTGAAGCATTTAGATTCATAAACTTGAATCGAAAATAACTAGTAGAGCCTACTTAAACGAAACAGTCGGGATGGTGCCTATACACTACCCAACACAGGAAGTAATATGGGCCGAGAATCCACCAAGGTGCTTCCACTTGTTCTCGAGCTTTCTCCCTCTCCCACACCTTTTTGTTACTTAACTTCAGCTTCTTTAATTGCTCCCTAAGCTCATCTTGCTCAATGTTCGGTTGCTACAAAGAAAACGAAAACGGTAGAGATAAAAGATGAGGATACCAGTGATCGCAAGACAGAACACTTAATGAAAAAAACCTTTCGATGAAATTATAAGGATCAGAAAGCAATTACTTCCAAACTACGCACAACAAACTTGATTCTACCGAGCACAAAAGGGCCGAGCCTTTATACGAAGAACAAATCGACTTACTAAAAAGCGAAAACACAGAACCATGGCTCCTCGATAAAATAACGTACTTGTTTCACAGGCTGTATCTCTTTCAGACCGTCATACAAAGTCAAAAACTTATCCAGTCCCCGCAGAAACAAAATCAAGCCTCGCCCGGTGTATGCTCCCACTAACTGAAAAGGGCCGCCCTCAATCTCCGCCGCTGCATTAAATACTCCATAACCACCGAGCTTAGTCAGAAAAGCATAGCTTCCACAAACCGTACCTAACAATGTCTAAGTAATAGAGAAAGAAACGACATCACAGTCGTCCCCTAGTGGAATTAAACGGCCCAAGACTTCACAGAGAATAAAGATTTTCCACATTAAAAACATCACGAGACTGCAAACTATGCAGATCATGAGTAGCGATGATAAGTCTGCCCACAATGAAACCAAAGCATGACGGATAAAGAGAAGAAATCTGCAGGTTCAGATACCTGTCCTGAAGTAAAAAAGCTCGGCGATCTCCACATCCAGAACCCACAAAACTGTCTATACTACAACAAAGAACGCTGACTGCTAACACTAACCTCTAGTTGTCTCAGAACCTACACCCTACATTTTTAGATTCAAACCACAACGTGGCTCGAATCTCTACTCCGTCTTCAGTAAGGGGGAGCAGGCAGATACTCTCCAGCATCATCATCAAGGGCTTCACTGCCCTCCAGGCTGGGAGTATCTCCAAAGACCTCGAGTTCTATGTAAGCTTGCTGCAGCCCTATGAGGTAGACGGCAACAAGCGTTCCAAAAAGAAACAAACTCATACCCTCCGCGAAAACCATGATTGACAAACAAATCGAACGTGGAAAGCTACAGACGAGAAGGCAGTGGGAAGCGCTCAACTTTCGAGAGGAGGCAGGAGAGCGACTAGGAGAGACAACGAGTGATTGAAAAGTGAATGCAAAGATGGAATTACGAAAGTATGAAGCATAATTATATTGGCCTATTTCTGGCGGTCACCGCATTCAGAGAATTGTATCTAAAAGTGTTCAGAGTTTCTTGGGGAGGATCAGAAAAACGGCAAGTTGACATATTTAGTACGTCTGAAGACACCTGCCAACTATCGCGACTTCCACGAGAGAAGAGACCGATCAATTGAATTCTCTAGAACAACCCACCCTAGTATTCACAGGTTTCCCAGGTGTTTCGAAACTTCCCCGACGTCATCGGATACACTATATTGAAGTTAGTTCTTCTATCCACCGCAAGTAAAGAACAAACTTAAGCGGTGACTGTCTAGTAATAGAACCAAAGTTCGGCAATTGATTGACAGAAGAATCGCTCTTGATAAATGCATATGTGACAATTTTGGGTTACTTACGGCGAATTGGCTTCAATACTCGAAATAAGTAACTTCGTCGCAGAGCCTGCAAGTTGCAACAAGGGTCGAGATCAGTTTCTTGTGTCTCCAGAGGAATGAGACAGGGAATAAGTCCCCTTTTCATACCACTGCAAGCGCGCAGTTTCACTACGATAGTCCCAAATCAATCACTTCAAAACACCTGGACCTCGACCTGGACCTTGCTACGGCTACTACAAGGTCTTGTGCAAACTCTCAGCAAACGGATACCCAAATCTATGACACCTGTGATTGAGCAATACAACGTTGCAATGTGAATCAACGAAGAAGACAGAATTTTGGATCCGAGATTTGGGATTGAGAGATATCTCGTGACTAGAAAGAAGTCTCTAGCTCTAGAGCTTGTTGAGGATCTGAAATCATACACGAAAGTCTATCCAGGTTCATTGAGAAGAGAGCCTGAAGCCGGACACACAATTGACGAGGGAGGGCGGAGAGGAAAAAACAGGAAGAATTTCATTGCATTTTCTAGCTGTTCTGTCATAATGGAGGCAATGATGGGGATCTGAGGGTTTAACATTTTGAGATGTTTGAGTTTCAGCTGAAAAAGTGACCGGCGGCAAAGAATTACTGTTGCGCAGAGTAGTCCAACAAAATTGTTGGGCAATTCCGTACCCGCCATTCTCTCCCAAAATTCTCGAACGCGAGCTTGAAAACATTTTGTGGAACTGTCGGTCCCGTTCGGAGAAATCTCGCCTGAAACCCGTAATCAAACTGGATTCTCTTTGGCAAAGCCTCCTCGCTTGCTGTTCCAGAGTGATCGGCAGAGCTCTCGTCGCTCCCCAATCTCTGTGATTTCAATTCCACTTCGTGCTCAGGGACCTTCCCAGCGACGCTACTCATCAGAGAACTATCGTCTTCTGTTGATATGGCGTTCTTTTGAAGGGCACGGACTGAGAGGTTTGAGCAGCTAGAGCTGCCAAATTTCTCCCGCCTGCTCAAACCTGTTACCGAGAGCTTCAAGAGATGATCCTCGGACCTAATGAGCGAACAATCGAGCGGCATCCTCCACCTCAAAGAAGCTGCAGCCGTGCAGTCGGTAGCAGCGGAACTGGGGAGGTGTGGAAAGCGCACCGACGGTCCAGTCCTGGCCAGAAGCATGCATGCGGCAGGACTGCCCATGCCTGCGAATGTCTATTTTCGCCGAGGGGGGAATTTCAGAGGCAGGCAACAACGATGTATTGCACTGCGTAATTCAAACGCGGGCCACAGCAACGAGGAACTGAATGGTGGCAGAGTTAAAGCTAGATTCGACTTTCAAGAATTCTGCAGAAATCTCCAGATTCTTCCACTGCGAAGAAGACGATGCCCAATTCGAACAAGAACTCATTGTGGCATGACGAGCTTTCTTCTCTTCCCGGGCTTCGCTGACGAAGAGGACGGATGATGATTCCTGAAATCTTCGAGAAACTGTAGCCACAATTCTTCACCGATGACCCGTCCTGCCTGCCTGGGCTTGAGTGGGGCTTGCACGGGTGCTGACCTTACTCAGCACCACGAGGTGACGTAGATACAGATGTTTTGTCGATGTTTTACCCCGTTCTTTCACACGCGCCTCGAGCGATCACACGCCCTACTTTATGGACAAGGTGGACAGAATGTTGCCCTCTCCATAGGTCATGAAAGCTGAGGTTGCTTGCGGAGAACACGCTAATTTTAATTATTCTTGGCAGCCAGCTTTGTGGCGCGGGCACAAGGCTGACGACCGCGGCCTTGAGCAGGAGAACCCGATTGGCTTCTCGCGAAAGAAGACGAGGAAAGTCTGTGGTGCAGAAATTTAGGACGTCTTGCTAAGATCAGAGAGCGCTGACTTCCCCAATCTTCGCAGGCTGAGCTTATTTATTTACTCGCAGTTGCTGCTCGTCTGCAGCTACGTTTCCTTCATGCAGAAGATTTGGTAAAAGTTTAACCATTTTACGACGTAATTTCGTGGGATAGATGGAGAACAACGAAGCTTGCCGAAGGCCAGTAGAAATGCATTACAAATGATGGCCACTCATTCCGAGCAGCGGCAGCAGCAGCAGCAGGTGCTTCCAACAGGAGGGACTAATCGTAACATTCTTTCTCGATGACGAGAGTCCATTCCGCACTGGCCAAGAACTCGCGAAGATCTCCGAGACGACGAACATTGGCTGCTTTTACACGAGTGAGGGATATTCTTGTCGACAAGTGTCACATCTTCCGTCGAACAACGAGAGGCAGCACGAGGCGGGGCGGGAACACCATCGCCAAGTTCAAGAAGAATCGTCCTCGCCTAATAAGTTTCATGAAAATGGGCCGGACGATGCTCATCGATATGCGATTATTCCCGACGCTTGGCACTCGAGAAGGAGCGACCGTGGTCACGTGATCGGCATCCGACGTCGCGCAGTGCCAGCGAGTGTTGGAGAAGTCGTGGCCCAGGGAGCATTACAGCCTCTGCCTTTTCTCACGGCCTTCATGACGATCCGCATCCAGCCTATCGACATTGCTCGTGCGAATGTCGGCGCGTTCGATCGACGAATTCCAGCTTCGATTCGAGCCTCCTGAAGGCAGAGCCTATTGCCACCGATGAAGCGGAGGGCGTGGATCTTTGGAACTGCCAGCGGCAGATCAATCAAATCGGACCGTTCGGTAATTTTGAGCACCAGGGAAATGGCAGATTGCATCCAATTCTGTTCCTGACTTCTTTTGATCCTCCAGATGGTACACACACAAGAGAGAGGTCGAGGGTTACGAACCAGAAGAATCATATTCTAAGATATGGCGTTTCAACACACAGTCTGCTGTTCGTGGGAATACACTCTTGTGTATCGAATGTATTAATCATGAATCATTTTACAAATATGTTTTCTCAAAGATTATCAATCAATCAAACCATCCAAATTTGGAATGTGATTCATTGAATTGATTATATGTAACCTTAAATTGCACATAATATATTCAGCTATGCAGCATCATTGAAATGGTAAACATCTCTATGAGTTTCAGATCTTGGTAGCATGAGATTCTGGACTTCTGTACTATACCACCAACATTTATGGTGACAAATTTAACATTGTTAAATAAAATGGAAATTTTAATTCATTTTTTTGGTAAATAAAATTCGTATTCAATATTTATATTTTGAGTTTAATTCACGATGAAAGTTGATTAGATTTTGATATTATATAACACATAAAATACATGGAAGAGATCATTATACGTATTCATACATACCATCAAGGAATGATATGAGAAAAAAAACATTCACTCTCTTGATAATTTTCAACAAGAGTATTACAGACAAAATTATCAAATTATCAATACACTTGATGAGCTTCAAAATGACATAAGATGAGGGAAATTTATCATATGATGTCATTGCAAGGATGATGAATATTTCAAATTACTTCTTTGAATGAGTTATAATTCAATGCGATTAGTAAGATTTTATATGTATTTTCTTTGAATATAAATTTCACATCCAATATATTACATATTGGTTTCAATTATTTTAAAATATTGTAATTAAAATCGAAAATGCCATATTGGTATTGATGTAAAAAATCATGATCTCACATAGATTTTTTCATGTATTCATAATAATCATATGTAAAATTCATGAAATAATCTTCTGTTTTGAAATTTGCTACTATGTATAATTTTTTCATATTTTATTTTTAATTTACAAAGAAAACATGAATTTTTGTCACTTTCAAAAAATATAATTTGCATTGAGATTCAAATATTTAAAAAATGACATCATGTATTTACTAAGAAATAATAATAACTCAATAGTATAAGATGTTCATTGTCAATAATATTTAATTAACTGTTACAATATATACTTCACATCTAAATGTTGAGAATTTCAATATTATTGGACCAACTAAAAGTATTTTGATACAATCAATAATTTTTTTCTCTATTGCAATTGAATACAGTGTTATTTGGATTCCAATACATTATCATATTGAACTTGTTTCACTTTGATCACCTCCGAAAACCTTTTGTTAAATAATTTTCAATATAATTAAAGTCTATGATAAAAAAATTATACTTGTTAAAAACCTCCAAATACTTCATTATTGTTTACATTTGACAGGTTTAAAAAAAAAAATTTAATATAATAAAAATAATTCCAATCCATTCTGTAAAATCAATTCATTTCTATATGTTAGATATATTTTACGATAAATATGGATTCTAAATCTTTTAATTAATATTAAATCAATATTTTTTATGAATGATGAATGAAATAATTTTTCACAATTTAATCATGTGTCATGATGCTATTATGATTCAGATTTCATTTTAGTTCAGATCATATGATGTTGCATTGTGATCTGGCCAAAATTATTTTCAATATAGAAAATTCATAATTTAAGATGATTGTAATAGTATCAAGAATTATTCAGATAATTAGAATCATAATGATTCATTTTGATACATTGATCGTCTTGTTCCAACTTAAATACTCATATTTTGAATTAAAATTATGGTTGTATTACCTTTGTATGATTTAATTTCTATTGATCTTCTGCACATATGCAATTAATGCCTCTCAGAGTAATAGTTTTCATATAAACTACTGTAACGTCCATTCTAGTTTTGAACCGTATTTGGTCTAGTTTTGAAACCTTGTAATAAATAGAGAATATGGTTGGGAACATTTTTTAAATTTCGTCAGATTTATGAAATCATATGATTTGTCAAGTGTACTTTAAAACTAATCAAAACTTATGTTAGATATATATAAAAAACAAATTTTTTTTATTTTGAAATATATCTTAATATAGTTTTCTATGATAAATCTTGATTATGTGTGATAAACACTATTATATTATGATGATACATATTTTTGTGGTTACGATATTAATATCATCGTAACCTAATCTATATTGGCTTAAAAAATAAATCGTAAAAAAATGACTTGTGAAAAACCTATAAGAAGAAATTTCATATCACATCAGTACAAAAGATTCATATCAACTGCAATCATATTCGTATCTGGTTAGTGGTTTGAGCAAAAATATGTCATAACTTTCAATCTCAGATCGATTAATGCCACATACGATGTGCTTGGTAGAAACCGCTTCTATAGAATACTCGTGGCCACTAAGACGCTGATAAGAAATGTTGTTTCTTGAAAGATTAACACTGGCATTGCGGATGGCCGACAAGGTGGACGTCCTTCTACCGAAGACAAAAATGACATGAGTAACAAAGAGCGAAGTGGCACATAAGTCCACAATAGAACACAACCGACTTATACAGAGGTCAGTAAAACTAATCAATTTCTTCATCATTTCGCAGCTTCCTCAGTGTAATCTCGTCAACACCTCATCAGATCAATAATCCTCCACAGATGAAGCCTGACGCGGGCCCTTTGCTAAAACAGCTCGTGTGTTCTCTTCCTAGACTGGCTACAATCTAAAGATTTAAATCCCTAAGTCCACCTTCTTGACCTATTTTGCTGCTCCTATGGAGCTAACTCTCTGCGTGAACGAAGAAAAAAACAAGTAAAATCGTCTGCCTGCAAAATGCGTCGTCAGAGTAAATTCTAATCCTTCCGAGACACAATATTACGTGGCAATAGTGTGACGTCGGATTATTGCACTGAAAGGTAAAGCCCGGAAGGGCATACCCTTTCGGGCTCAACTCTGAAATCTACGCTCTGAAAAGGATGGACAATTCTGGAAGTCGATAAGGATAGGATGGACAAACTAGGTCATATATAAGCTTACAAGAGGCTCTTCTTACTTGCACACACGATGCAAAGGATACTACCAAGAACTATGAAAATACTTTCTCCCAGAAAGAGGAAAAGGAGAAAGCTTGTAACAGTAAGATGGAAAGCTATAAGTAGATGGGCTCTTCACCAGATTCCGGACCTAAGCGTCCGATGACGTTCTTCACATATGCACTCACAATCAATGCGAAAAATCCCCAATCATTGCCAAAAGTTGGGCAACTTCCGACGTTCACCCAACCTTGATACAAATCGAAAGGGCTAACGAGGGTTGATTGGATGATAAATATCCTGTCATTAATGCCACAAAAAATGGAAGTTACTCGACTTCATCAAGTTCAAACCAGAAATGATCTTGACAACTTGAAATCCTTATGTGGGTCAAGATATGAGGCTCAGAGCTGACCTACATGGTTAGCATTTAAATCGTAGACGAAAGCATTGGAAAAAACAAGGTTCAATAACGAAAGCTTAAACGTAGTTGGAAGCTGCATTTAACCCAAAAGACCAAGTACAACTACTCACATACAACTGATACAAAAACACTAAACCTGAGAAACAAGTAAACTAAGAACTAAACGAAAAGGAATTTTGCAGAAGAGATTAGAAGAAACCGATGTCGCAGTACACATAAGGAAGAAGAACAAACGCACAATATGAACTGATAGAAGGTTCAACGAGAGAGGCTATTAGGACCGCACAGATGTGTCCGGTGGACTCACCCGTAAGAATTTAAGAGATCTTGACTTACCGGATAGTGTTACGAGTACCTCCGGATACCCATAGAGTTATAAAAACTTAAAACATACTGAATGTTTGGCGCCAAAAATCAAATGATACAAGGTATTGATATTTTCCTACGGATGGATTTACTTCACTTACAAATCACTAAGTGAAAACACTCATATGACTGCGTAGAGGTAGACAAAAATATTCCAGAAGACGCTTAATCTATCGGGTCGAGCACTACGTGCCTATCATGTCTCGCGCCCCCCGGACCTGCCGAATAGTCAGGATTAGTAGTAGCTTGTGATCAGCTATATAATTTTACCATGTACTGAGGTCTACGCGCTAATTCAAGTACGGTAATGACAGATAACACAACTTACCCGCCGAAGTCTTCTTCTCCTACAGAGTAATATTAAGGTAAATGCAATCAATGAGCGTGATCCACTTACTGCAATTCTCCTAAATGTAAGCAAACACCACTGTGGTTGTGGGCTATTTTTTAGACTAGAGGAGTACAACGCCTTCTGATGAGAGAAAGTACCTTCCACAAGATAACAATTCTGCTCAACCATCGTCACTTCAGATTCCAACAAATCAAAGCTGCACCTCCTTGAATACTGACTTGATTTGTGAAGTACATTTTAAATTAAGCTTCTGAAGACAAGTTTCAAAAAGTTCCCTCTTCGTTAACCAATTCTAATTACGTCTGCGCAGCAGAAAGGAAATTAGACACGCGTGTTAGTAACTAACTTCAGTCATCCTATGTATCCAGTACACTAGCACAGTAGCAGGATCGACAGAGAACAATCACGAATGATATGTGAGACAGAGTTAACTAGCAATCCAAAAGGTTCACCATAACGGATTATAAGAATATGAGTGACGAACCCACATATGTACGAAGAGAGACTTGTCAGGAATTAGCTCTTCCCAAAAGGGTGAACCTCATTATTCTTTGTATAAAGGGCTTGAGCCAACCACTAATTCTACAGATTCTGAAATACGCCAGCACGTGTCCAGAAACAAAGTTGTCAGTGCCTTTTGAGCACTTAGCAAACATCAAAACCATCTACACCATTTCATTAACTCTTGGTCACCGATTTATCCTACATGTCCAGCTTTAGCCAGCGCATGAATGGCTCCAGCACCCAAGCACAATAGCGCCTGCAGCACAACGTGAGTTGTTAGGGCATGTCAAGAACTTGCACATCACTTTTTGAGACCATGAATTTGAGTTGTAAACAAATCAACTAGCGAAATGATGCACGATGAGGTCAGCCAGAGATTAGCGAGAAACGGGGAAGATGACGGTAAATGGACTACCGATACCGACTTAGGTCATCATAAGCATTGTTAAGTCGATACTAAGGTCAAAACGAGCCGTATGGACTCCATCCAGACTTCGCAGAAGTCCAAACACGTTCCACAATAACACAGAATGTCGCACGAAATTGCAAGCCTAGCACCATGACAAATCAAAGAAATTATTTGTTCCAGATGCGGGCTTTCAGAAAGTGCTTTGAAGCGCCTTCAGCGTCTCGCTTCTGTAAGCCATCCAAAATATGGAGTGGTAAGGTCAACTAAATGTCGTAGAACAATTACTCACAAAAAATTATCAGCTAGAAAATAGTAATATAAGTGGGATCACACCTGGGACCATTGGACAGCAAAACACCATAGTTCCTGTCCTTAGAGACAGCCACAAGGCGTTGACATAACGGAAGGAACATTAAAATGGATCCGATTATGGAAGCATCAGTCTCACAAAAGATGGAACTCTGACCAGGAAAACAGAGTGTAATGAACCCCAACATGATGGAACATAGTAACGCGAGAAAAAATGAAACACGTTAAAAAGAACGTAGTTATCACGCAAAGTATGATAACGACTAAACCTGAAGGATTCACTTATCAATGATAAGGTTGGATGTATGATTTCTTCGAAGAAGACCAAGGTGGATTTATGCATCTAAAAATTTGACCACTCGTCGACAAGGGAGCAACAACCTTTACATATTGATGAGAAAGTGTATGCTGGTGGTGGTAAGCATGAATAAGAACGAAAGGCAGGATCTGTACACAGGTCAGGTTGACTAAGTCTGTTAGTGAGTAAAGGTTTAAGGCCTTCCGAAACAGAGGAGATCGCATTGGAGCACTAAACCATGACAACAAAGTGTATAATCCTACCCTCTAGCATTTAAGACAGCTTCGTCATAACCTACAAGAGACTGTTTGGGTAATAAGCGAGTGCAAACATGTCCTCACCACAACAACAAAAATAACATGTTGTAAATCCTCACACAACATCACAAAGAATTTAGAACCTTCTCACTCTTAAGAAGAGAGCCCACCTATTCAAATACAAGTGATGAGGTATACTCCACACCTGAGAAGCTACTGCGAAAAATCATCTTGACAATTCAAACGTGCTGGCGTGGCTGGAGTCGTACAAATGTGAGCCCTGTTGTGAGTTGCTGAACCCAGGGAGCAACACACTCATGACATTTGATGGGGCCCCGCCCACAGCTCCCATGACACCTCTGTATGACGCCAAATCGCTGGAACTGTCGGATCCAACTTTGGATCCGACAGGGGGGTGCGAACTGTAACCGTGTGTACTTGGTAGGTTACTAGTATATCCAACACCATTTGAGGCTTGGCCCACCTCTTTATACTTAGCCGAAGATTGTGGAAACTCCCTGAATCCTTCTGGAAGTTGTGTTGATGTTGCTCCGGAGTAGTTGTTCATCGCCTGAGACGCTCCAGTATATGGCAAGTGTAAAAAAGATTCCCGACTGTACATGCTTGAGGCTTCTTTGCCCCCATTTTGGGCAGGAAAAACCTGATGCCCTCCTCTATTAGTAATTGGCGAACTAATGCTAGAAACTGATGCTGGTACACGGACTTGTGATGAAGAATGACTAGAGGTGGAAGGAGCTTTCAATAATTCAAGAAGCTGAGAAAATTCTTCATCCTCAGCTCCTTGGTTAGTGTCGGAAGACTGCGAGGGTGTTGGCGGGGTTGCACTAAAGTAAGACTGAGAGTTGTCATCAACGTAGTAGCTAAAGGGATGATGAGAGGTGCTATTATGACTGACACTACCATTGGAGTAACTGGATAAGGCAGGTGGTACACTGGTTTTGACTGGAGACGATGAGTAGGCTAATAGAGGAGAAGGATCACTGTATGATTTTGGGACCATGGGACTGGTCTCCAGCTGTGACCTAGAGCTTCGAGCAATTGGTTGATTGACACTGTGATGAATTTCTCTGCCAGAAGGATACGGCAGGTTATTTTGATAGAATTGACCACTATCCTGAGATGGAACTATGCCACTATTCTGGGACAAGGATTGTCCTCCGTTTAGAAGGTGAGGGTGCCTATTATGTTCAGATAAGTAAGGCATGGAATTCTGTGACAAAAGCTGACCTCTATTTTGGGAGAACAAAGGAGAGGTCTGTACACCTTCTTGTGAAGTATCGACGGACAGAGAAGGGAGAGACCAAATCGGCTGGGCACTAACTCCAGTTGAAGAAGGCAGCTGCATGCCATCATTGAACAGATTTACACCTGGCATGGTGGAAGGCAAAGCAGGAGACTGAGGAGCAGCAGGAGATGAGATGCCTGATGAAAAGCAGGACGTCATCTTCCCTGCCTCGTCTCCGGACGGAGAATCCAATCGCGCCTGTGCTCGTTTCACTTCCACCTTCTTACCCCTGAATGGAAAGTAATGTTTCCTCACCGCCTCATCTGCATCCTTCTGCTCAGCAAAGAGAACGAAGCCGAAACCCCTCGACCTAGGCTTTCCTTCTTCGTCGTTCCCACAAATGACTACCGCATCTACAACTTTACCAAATTCTTGTTCAAAAAACTCCCACAACTCATCAGAATGAATGAAGTGTGGGAGTCCTCCAACAAAAACCTTCCTCACACTCGTGTCGTCATCCTCACTCCCACTTGACGCGAGAGACGAGGACGTCGAGGGTCTTGGACCTACTCTCATAGTTGGTATCATGCTAGATGACGCAGACAGAGGTCTCAATTCTCCTTCGCCGTGTGCAAATTTACACTTGCCTCCATGAGGGCATGTACCCATCTTCTCATGATGCATACAAAGCTTGGTCTTGAAATTTTTCACACCCTGGTCGCCGGCATCTGGCAAAAGCTGCACTCCTTTTGACGCCAGTCCCTCGATTTTCTCGCCAGCAGTTTTCAACTTCTGCTGTCCAGCCATAAGTTCCTCTTCCGAATGTGCAAAATGACACTTGTTACCCCAGCCACAGCCATCACTGGTACCAAAAAAACGACAAAGCACGGTTTTGTAGGCTGGCAAATTTACATTCGACTTGCCATTAATTAAGTCTCCATCACCAACTTGACTTAACTCAGTTCCATTCAAGACTTGCTTCTGGGCAGCTTTCTGCAGTGCTAACCAGCTTGAATTCCACGCCGGATTAGACTCGTGTGGTGAGGGCAATGACATATGATGCCTCAAAGCCGGTTGCAGTTGGTAGTGTTGTGAAGATTTGGCTTGAGAAGGGGCCTGACCGTATAACTCGTGCAGAGACGGCATAGAAAGTGACTGCGAAAAGGATATAGGATGTACCCCAGAAGAATGTGGCATGACTGGTGGACAATGAAACTGGGACCGCATCTGTGACATCGGAGGTGGCTGGGCTGCGGCCTGGGAGAATGAAAGTGGCAAAATCGGACCTGCACCGTCTGTACACATCGGCGGGACTTGTTGCTGCGCTGCAATCGCAAGAGTTTGATACAACGTTTCCCATGACTGCTCTCTAAGGGTGGCCTCGTCCAGACTAAGTAGAGCTCTCATCTCAGGTGAAGGAGCCAGCTGAAATGGCTTTTGACTTCTCAAGCTACTCACGTTCCTGTTGGCACCATGAGTAAGGAGAATCGCAGTGCAAAGCAGGTGATTATTTTTTACAGAATAATGTAAAGGGGTCTCCTTGGTAGCTGCCATAACGTTCACGCCGCCTGCCTCCTTCTCAAGAATAAGAGACAAAGCTTCAAAGTGGCCATGACCTGCAGCTGTGTGGACTGGGGTAGCCCCAAGTTTATTCCCCATCAACACGTTGGCACTGGCATCCAGAAGTCTCTTGACAAGCTTGCTGTTCACACTTCGTTTATTAACAGGTGTTGCTTGCCGAAGGGCCCAATGTAAGGCTGTGTTCCCATCTGAGTCAGTTTCGTTGATAGGTGCTCCGGCTTCCAAAAGGAGTGACAGAAGAACTTCATCATTCGCTTGAGCTGCTCTAAGCAAAGGCGGCAGAGAAGGGCTCTGCGGATGTGCCGACAACCTTGGCCCAAAGAGCAGCACGCACTCTAAAAGCTTCCTCGCAATTTTACAATTCGTCTCTAGATCTTCGCCACCCGCTGAGCACTTGTCCTCTACGTGTTTCCCTGCTGGTTTATCCATATCACCACCAGAGCTCGTTCTTCTAAATTTGCTGTCAGAACCACTACTTTCCCCTTCAGTGCCGTTGCTCCTGTACTTCGAAGTAATCTCTTCCCATTCACTCAAATCCTTTCTATGTTTAATCTCCGAGCAGCCTTCTTCCAAATCGTATCTATGTTTGGTCTCCACAGGGGTCTCCCAATCACCTGAATTTCTCCTATACTTGGTGTCCACTGCACTCCCATCTGCTTCGCATGATCCTTTCCTTAGGAGGCGACCAGTCTCTCCAGACCATACCTCTCCTAACCCATCCGAGAAACTTTTCTTACATTTAGAAGCAGACTTATCTAACGGGCAAACCGATGAATAGGCTAAGGCTTTTCCTAGCAAAAGATCCACAAGCGTGCCCACCGAATCCTCTTCGCCCTCTACCTTCTTTGCTACAGAATTAACCACGTAGGAGCCCCTGGCAACAATTAAGAGCGCAACCAAAGGAACCAGCTTCAACCCTTTCGCTAGCTTGAAGGCTACATGTATCAGCTGATCCTTGCACTTCGTTTCTAAAGCTCGTAAAGCGACCAAATCCTTCTCCCTCACTTTCTCCACGATCTGCGCGGCCGGAGTGAGAAAATCCCAGTCCACTTGCAACTTAGTGCTAAGAAGTGCTTCCTCTAAGGGGACTGACTGCTGCTTGTTCTTTAAAGATACATTCGCACCCTGCTTCAGGAGAACCTCTATACATCTCCGAGAATGGTTTTGTGAGGCTACATGCAGAGCAGAACGCTGGTCCACTTCATCCACGGCATCTACCCAGACTCGAGGAAAACTTTGAGATGTTATCAGCAACTTACAGCACTCCACAGCGTCTAAAGCACAGGCAAAGTGCAAAATCCTTCTTCCAAGTACAGAGAACTCATCATCTTCCTTACTTCCAGTTGCCGCACTCTTTTTCTTGTTCTTCTTCGCAGGGGGTTTGGGATTGGCACTTCGTTCTGCTTCCAGAGCCTCCTCCAAGCCCTCTGAATCATCCTCATGCACCAGCTTCCGAAGTGCTGGCTTCAAGGCTGGCTTCAAAATTTTCTCCATCGCCTTTATATCTGGCCCTTGAAGTGGCGGCCGGCGATCGGTACCTTCGGAATCCGAGTCCTTCGATCCCTCCACAAATACAGCGAACATTTTTCCCAAGTTCTGCCCACTACATTCACTCACGCTGAGCTGTTCAGCCCCACCTGGAATTTATATTACAACAGCACCTGCACCTGCAATCAGCCATGACAATCACTCACTTGAACGCCACAGGCACGCATAAACAATAACAATCAGGTCCTGCTTACAAGTCAGTGGCACGTCTAGAACCATAGGATATCGGATAGGTCATCTCACGACAACACAATTAGCACGCGCTTCCACGTAGAGGGGTTAATCGCTCACGTACTCATGACCTAATTCAAACGCGCCATCTACTCCCAGAGCGTTGATTACAAGCATAAGCATGTAGCACTCCCGCTTTGCTTAATGCCAATCAACACTACAATCTTTTAGTCAGGGCGTCGACCGATTATAATTCGAGAAGTGCAATTTCTCACAACGAGTTGCAGGCGAGACACTCGAGAAGTGTCCGCAACCTTCAGTCAGACTGTGGTGTCGACACAGCATGTAAGTTCGTACCACCACAACCTACAAATTGGCCCAAGAAGACATAGCATCTGTGGTCCTCGCGACAAGTGCGACGCAGAAACAATCGCGACAAAATAACCACAAAATACGGAATTACCATAGCATTCAGATTACCAAACAGCTCCGATGAAAAATTTATGATAAGGACACGAGAACGGACGCTGCAAACTGCGCAAAAAGTTTTCTTTCACGACCGGAACCTGGATAAACACTGGACAAGGACTAAACAGAACATCGACTTTTTACAGGCAGAAGTGTAGGACAACAGCCGAACGTGACACTCGGATTATCGCCGTCCAGGTTTACCCGTTCTCCTGATCAATTCAGCTCGTGCGAGCTAACTCTCCACATCCTGATCGCCTTTCTTGCCTCCAGGAAGAGAAGAGAGAGGGAAAGCTGGAGAAGGCAGCAGAAAAGCAGGTAACGTACCTCGGCTACTGCGATCGCCATTCAGTGCAGCAGAGCCAGCAAATATGATCCCCAAAGGTTTCTGGCTTCGGCTCAGGACGAAGGTGGACAAAAGCGCAATTTCGTCGTGCGAGCGATTACGTGCAGGAACTCGAGCGCTTAACCTCGTCAAAGAAACACCAGCACGTCCCAGCAGCAGCAATGCCCGCTGCACAGGCGATCACATTACCTAAGACGCTGCCTTCCAAGATGCTGCAAATTGCAGGCTGATGATCGCTCTAGATCAACTCAAGCGCAGTCGCAGCTCGATCACAAACTCACAAATGATCGCACAAACCCAGAACACGAGTCAAAGAGCAAGCAATCGACACCCAACGCCACGTCTTTCCAGCATGCCTCGACGGGACTCTCTCCACTTCCCAACTCCCCCATCGCCTTTCCATTCAACAAAGAGTCCACTCGGCACTCGCTCTCAATTTTCCTTAGGCCCATGCCCTCGTCCTCCATCCTCCCCACCCATCCTTCACACCGTCACCCGCCCTCCCATTCCCGTCGCTCTCAAACATACACAGACGCCGTCGGCCCAATCACCGTCCCCTTCTCCTCTCCCCTCCCTCCCCCTCCCTCCCCCCTCCGAGAGCTCCTCGGCCCTGCCATCACCCTCTCTCTCTCTCTCTCTCTGCTCTCTCCCTCCCTCCCTTTCTTTTCCTTCCCCGTCGTCCTTCCTCCTTTGTCTTAACGCATCCCTCCTTTCTAATGGCCCGCATACGGACACTTCCAGCCAGCCAGCCAGACCCGCACACACGACAACCGTCGAAGAAGATACAAACCTCGCCTTCCGGCCTGAAGCGCTTGCGAGCTTATTCGCCCTCCCGAGCACTGTGGCGTGTTCAACCGCGACTCTTACTTGCTTGATTGGCAATGGCCATACTTGGCGAAGCAGCGGCAGGCCCCGTTCTCCGCCCTGTCACCGGCACAGTCCGCATCGATCGACCGCGCTCGAACCCCGCTCCGCTCCCGTTCCCGTCCCGTCCTGCCCGGCCTCCGCTTCCTCTAATTGCTCTCCTTTCTTTCTTTCTTTCTTCCTTTCCTTCTTTCTTTCTTTCTTTTGCACTCGCGCTCGCTCGCTCGTCGACTTCCCGCCGAGCGAAGCTGCGGGACATCAATTCCTTCCTTCGCCGTCTCGGCACCCGAATTGTTCGCGACGCGCGCCCTCGTGAATAAACGTACCACCTGCTACCGAGCTTATCGCCAGCGGCGCGGACGGCCGCGATGGGCACATCGCCGCGAACGGACGGCGCGGAGCTGTCGTACATCCCCGGTTGGACGTGAATACTTGTCCGATTCGAAGCCACGCAACCGTCGCCGTCCGGACCGCCGTCGGGAGTTAACCCTATCCAGACCTAGAGGACGAAAACCCGAACGGAATGGGCGACTAATCCCGTCTCCGAAGCTACAGCGTTTGCGCTCACCTCGTCCTTGGCTCCCGGCTGCGTTCCTCGCGGATCGCCACGTCAGCGATCCGTACCCGCGATGTGCATGCCGGTCAAGTTTGCCGCGGCATACGGCAGCCCCGCGCTTAGTTTTCATCCTGCCCGAATCTGGGAACTCATATTCTTCTAATCCATTGGCGAGATCCGCCGGAGGCTGTCAGCACCCTGCGGTCCGATTTTCAGCTGTCTGCACCATTGCCGGATCGTCTAGTCGCTTTCACTTCCGTAAATCGCCGGTTCAACCCTACCAGTCTTACTGCAGGCTCGCAGGCTCGCCCAGCCGTCAGCCGACCATCGAGAACGAATTCCGAGCATATTCCTCCGATTCGCTTTTGTACTGCTGCTCCCCCTTCCCGCCAACTTAGCCCTCGCGGGTACCTGTCACTTTAGTTGTCAAACTCTTCATGACAGCAATCTTTTCTCCCCATACTCGTCACCATGTCCATCGGCCTCAGGTTGTGCCATGTACCACGATCCGCCAACTACCAGTTAGCGGACTGTAACTCGGGCCTCAGATAAAGGCGAGCCCGCTGCGGTGAAAACCAGTGCCTCTACTTTAGCCAACGAACGACGACAGCGTTACCCATAACGGATGCTTTCAAGTTCTCGTGCTTAGTACTCGTGTTGACTGCTGAAGACCGTGAGCAAACTACCCTTTGAGCCACTGGTCTATCAACACGTGGCTCCGAGTGCGGGACTTTGACTGACGCGTCAGTACGGACCTTTTCTCTTTATCGTCCCTCGTCCTGGGGTTAGCCTGACCCGGGTTCCTTCGGAAGAGCTTGTCGCTGTCCCTCGAGGACCGACTTTAGTGACCACCAACTTCCCGGCTACCGCTCACGTTGACGAAGCAGTCACGGTTCCCGGCCCTGGCTACGGTGTGGCCGGCCCCGTCAACTTCGTGCTCTGCGCTTTATGATCCGGTCAAAGTTATTCCACCTGCAGTACGTACAGACATGACTGCGATTTGTACTGTAGTTCCCGGCGCCTCCCATATTCTCAGGCCCTAGCTTCCGTCCTGCCGATCTAGTTAACCTTGACTAAGCACCGAGCTGCTCGTATTTATTGACCCCGGACGAGATTGTCCGTGAGTCCCGTGACATTCCTGAGACCCGAGTGAAAGGATTCAACGGTCCGTGGGAGCGTCATGCAGATCCCGTACTGACAATCCAGCTGACTCCAGGCCTCGCAGCTACTAGACAAGCCGCAGAGATGCTCGGCTAAAGGTGGCACTAAATTAGCCCACCCGCTCCTAAAGAGGAGGTGAAGGTAGGATTTGGTGGGGGCTCTGGACTACGAGCCCCGCTTTGAGGGGAATAAATAAGCCCCTAAATAATGCAATATGGGTACTGACCGCAACAGGAGATGTGCACTTTGTTTGTCCTTTTCTTACTATTGTATCATATTGGAACAGCTACAGCCTACTGATATGGATTTGACCGAGTTCAAGATTTTTCAAGGCATGTGAATTTGTTCATATAACTATGCTCCCTGACTGTAGTGGGAGAGTATCTTGAGAGCTCCACTTTTTAGGTGGAGAAACGTCGCTGATAAAGCAGCGGCTTACATCAGCAGCGCAAAACTGACGCTCCCGCTACAATGAGCTGCTCCGATGGATCGATAAATACCACATCACTGGCTTTGAATGCGCGCTAGAAGGGCAATACTCTCTTCATTCATGCGAGACATGGCACGTATGCGGTTACAGGACAAAATCCCAAAACCTCTGATTCGGTCGAAGTGACAGAATTGCTACATCTGAGTTCGAAGTCCCCGCTATCATTGCCACCCGCTTCCTCACTGCGTCGATGCAGGAACCTGTGGCGATAATAAACCAAATCTTGGTTTCATACCCACGGGAAATTAGTGGGGACTTGATCGCAAACAACGAAAGTTTGTAGGATTATCTGCTGCTGGCCGATGTTACTACGAAGAAGCCGAGTGACTCACCAGCACCAGGAGCAGCATGCGTGCTCGTCCAGGCTGCGATCTTCGGTGTCGCCAATAGGCTGTAATTGGCGGAGGTCCGACTAGGGGAGAAAAGGCAGAACAGGAAGCGGAGGATAGGAGACAAGATTCGTGCCTTCGGCAGCGAAACGTGCTGCTATCTCTCGTCAGAGAAAGAAGCTCTTCCTGTATTGTGCTCTTGGACGGTAGTGGAGGTGGTTGCTGGTTCGAGAGAACATTCAATATGAGCGAGCCAAGACGACGAGGGGCCAACGTACCTATTCGATGTGCTTCCCTGTAGTTCGTCCCCTCTCTTCCGCTCCGGAGGTTTCACCAAAACCGACGACTTGTACCGTAGACCTGGACGGAGCCATGACAGTTCATCAGCTGTACTCGCATATTATATCCAACAATCGACAATAAGTGTCAAACTCTGGGCAAAAAGTGAATTTAGGGCAGTTCTAAGCTCCCAAGAAAAGCTTGGTGGCACCAATCAGCCGTCTCTGTCTTGCGTTTTCCGTAATAAAGTACTCATATGCTTGGACGAACCGTCCCAGGCTTTTCGATTGTAGAAGGGGTGTGGGTCACTGGACGTAACCCTGGTAATTGAGCGAGCGTGGGGGGAATCTCGTGGTTCTGCCACACATCTAAGGTGTGTTAAGTCGGGGCTCTTTGTCCGAGTGGGTTTGTATAGTGAGCGGAAACTCGGGGAAAGTATAAACTATTCCCTCGATGTTGGGAGCAAACACTGACCGCAAGAGCGAACAAAAGAATGGTTCTAGTTGATCAACTTAGCCTCCACACTGTCCACATTCAGAACATAAATGGATTATTTCAATGGAAATTTTATTAGGAACTATAAATCTGCCTCCAACGTGTAGGAAGCAGCTGGGACGTCACCAGTGCATCAGTGTTGAGTGTAAGTTCGTTCATCTTCCGTGTTCTGTTACAGTTTTGTCAACCAACAAAGACATAAAAGTCCTACCAAAAGTTGGGCCCCAAGCCATGAGCTACTCATTGCGTTTCCAAAAGTTTTCACCTGAAGATCGAGATTAATTATATTTACCAGTGACATTATCTATTTCTCTATGACATCTTATTCATCTATATCACAGAATACGGAGAGGAAGTTTTGTCACTTTAACGCACCTTTGATATCTTTCCCAGCGGATTGCAAGCAGAATTTGCGCCACAAAGATAACAAGAGCAGTGACTCGTGTGTAGGAGTTTCTAAGGGAGAAGGAAGTTGAGAGAATGTTGGCTCCATTCCGTCCATAGCATTTGAGTTCCGAGTTAGATTTCACAAGAACATTCAAAAGTTAGACCCTGTGACACATGTTAGTCACAATTTTTGCTCCAAGGATGGTGCGTCAGTCCAGACGGTCAGAAAATGATTATGAAGCTCTACTGGCACAAAGAGAAAAACACATTCATAGACGTCACATTTTGCGGAAGCGAGCCGGGAAAGCTGCTGCCACCGCTCCGATTTTCACGCCTACTCGAACAAGTCTTTTGTGTCAAATCTACACTTTTGTCTGCTACCCTAGCTCAGCTCTACACCCCTCAATATATGGGATCCTTGCCCTCCACAAATCTATGGCCCTTGGATGCAATATTCTGTTCAGCGGTGCGGCCATCTGGAAACAACCATGGATATCCTTTCTTACCCAACATCGTAAAAACTCCACCTTACTACGACATATGCTCAAACTACACATCAACAACACCATCTAAACCTTCACCCTCGTGCAGTGACAGCGATTATTGGAGTTAGAATTTGGAGTCACACATATGGAAATTACCCCTCAACTCGCAGAGCAAGCCACAAGTCTTACTGCGTCATCCCACAAACTCCATTCCTGCTTCACAATTTCCACACAACTGCCGACCACCATATGGCCACTCCTCTCTCCACACGTTCAAAAAGTTATAACATGAATTGCATTCGCCTTCTCCGGGAAAATTTTTAAATTGACAGACAACTTACGAACGATTCACATCGCAGTCTACTACCCTACAAAATCGATTTATGGATCTGTAACTGGCGTTCAAAATCGCGTTCAAAATCTAGCAGTTATGCAAGCTACAACATAGACTTGCGTCTGAAGCTAGTTGGTGAGGTGATAGCTTACCAAGTCGATGATGAATGACTGGTCTCCCTTCTCAAGCTAAAACATGACCTTCAAGTGCAATGCAAGACAGGGCTTGATACATCCCCAGTCTTACCATTCCACATTCTAATCCTCTTTCCAAGATACAAGTCGCTCATATATGGCTACAACTTTTATGCATGTGCACCCACCTTGCCCAATCAGATTTTAGGTTAGCATGACACAACAAACTTGTCCACGTCACTGCAAAATTTCTTCATATTTTTTTAGATATTTTTCAGGAGATGACAACAAAGTCATCAAAACCATGGACACATCATCCAATACTTTTTGTTGTTGTTAGTGCAAGAAATAAATCATATGATATTGGTTTGGACATTGTAATAAATCATCATAAAATACCTGATCTTAAAACTCAAATTTTTAATCCCAATACCAAACCCATAGATATGATATTTGTGTTCACATCTTGTGATGACAAATAGTTAAACAGAAGAATATTCCTTGACTCATCGGGAGATTCATTACAGTTTAAAACACTGATCTTCATCATCATTGGATCAATGAGTCTCACATTACATAAAAAAGCTCATCATAACAATCAATGAAAATTTTCATGGTTCAGGCAAAAAAAATTCACTTTCTTTTGGAACAAAGTTTGAAGCATATTGTGCCAAGTCAAACTACAAATAAGACTTGAAATGCATGGTATAGTAAATATTGATCCTTGATTTCAATGTGTAGTGTATATGACAATATAAACACAAGTAACATTTCAAAATGATTGCCAAAATATAATAATTATTGTTGCTATATTTGGATTATTGTTAATATTAACTGTATTTAAATAAATTTAAATTGTAAATTATAATACAATTATAAAAACCAAAAAAATGTAATCATTTTTTTCATTCAAATGTATTACAAAATTATTACATTTTTCACTCGTCTTTTAAATTATTAATTCTAGGAAAAAAATTTGCAAATTAAAACTACATTATTTATTGACTTTTTAACAAATTATGTTTTGTTTGTAAATTTAAGAAAAAATTACCATAAAATAAAAGTAATGATGTTGAACAAAATCATGTAGTTATTTCTTACAAGTATATTTATATATAAAACTATGCATCAATTTTATCTTTGAACATTTATTTATCATATTATGAACGTTGTCTGATATTTTATGCGATGTGAATTCAATGATTTAAATTGAATAGCTTGAAATAAAAGATCAAGTATGCCATAAGTTAATAATAAAATTAACTTATTTGATTATATTTATATATATAGTGTGTATAAAAATAAAATTGGTCATTATCAAAGAAATAAAATAAAGTGATTGTAAATCCATTCGAGAAAATAAAATGAATCAAGAAAAAAAGTTTCACATGATAAAAGATGGAAATTTATTATCTGATTTAGATTCAAAATAAGTTTCAAGACTAAAATTGAAGATTTTTGAAGATAGATTTGAAGATTGTTATGCAATTTTTTTTGCCAACTTGAAACTTAGTAATGTAACATGTATAATAGGTTATTTATCTAAAATAAATGTAAAGTTTCTGAAAGTAAGCAAATGAAAATTTTCAAACAAATTTATTTGTAGATGATAAAGACAAAGAAAACTATTCCACATTTCATTATACTTGTATATGAACATTGAAATGATGACATATTTATCAGGATACTCAAATAAATTACAATATAGTAACCTTAACATGTTTGGTTGCTGATCTACTAGTTTCATTAAAATATTGATTTGAATTTCAACAAATGATAAAGTTCATGATAAGATCTTTGCTGTAAAAATACTTCTAAATACATTTTCTAAAATAAAGACAAAACATTATAAACATATTTGTATGAAATATAATCACTTATATAAATTTATGTTTATTAAATGCAATGATTGAATGTGCCTTAAATATGTATTGCTTTCACTTGTTTATATGTAAAACAAAGTTGTTATAAAGTTTATAATATTCTTGAGCTCATCAATTGTGGAATACTCATATCTTCATCAATCATTTTCATATAAGAATTATTCATGTTTTTTCATTCAATATAATACTTGCTAATTTTGTTGTCTTCTGCAACCTTGATTCCTCCATTTTGCTTTATTGGATATGTAGAGTTTAGCACTAGTCATTTAAAAAATTTATTACATTTAAAAAGATATATTTCATTAATTTTTTAACATATGATAAAACATATTGATATTTTGTAGCACATCTTGTTACCTACAAGTCTTATTAAAAAAATCGTTAGTTATTGTAAAAAATTAAATTGACATTATGAACTATGTACTTGATGATATAATAATCATAAATATATAATAAAAAGTTTCATGCAACAAATTTGTTTTTATATTTTTAAATAAAAAGATAAATTGTGAAAGTATGTCAATAGTTGATCAATTCTAATGCTCTTCGAATATATATTGATATCAAAATTATAAAATTATAAAATAATACAAAATAATAATGTGTACATGGCTATTATGATATTTCTTATTCAATGATCATAAACTTATAAAAATGCATGAAATAATTTTTAAAATTAGACAATCAATGAAAAAATAATAGATTGAAAACAAATAAAAGAAAAAAAATATAATTATATGACACAAAATATAGATATCTGTTGTAATCTAAAAGCTATGGTCTAAAGACCGAATTTTGTATGTGAAAATCGTAAAGTCGGCCAAAGTACGTGTAAAGCCAAAATAACATTTAGTGCCAAAAAGACGATGAGGTTCACTTCAATCACTCAATGAAATATTTACTTGATGGTATCCCATTGAAATGTAAACTGCTTGATGGGACTCATCAAGTTTCATTTAATCAAATGGTATCCCACCGACGGCACATTGTCGGTGAGTTCTAATACATGATATAGTATAACTTGTCTAAATTAATAACATGTGATAATTAGTATGTGTTTAGTCCCAAGTTTGACCCCATACATTTATTAATAAACCTACAAAAATTAATAATTAATATAGTAGTAGCAATTTGCCATAGTGGTTGTTGTTATAAAAAATACTCGGGACTGTATGTGAAGTACAAATAGATGTCGTTCCTTAACTGACAGAAACATTATGCGTAACCTGAAGCCACTTGATCAAGTTTGCTTCCGTGGGCAATGTATACTTCTTTTTTGTGACCACAAAAAACTATGAGAACCTCGTTGATCATGTTCATATTCTCTATGAAGCCATTGTGTTGTGGTTTTGGTTTTGATTGCAGTTGTGATTATTGATTGCTGTCATCCATATGTTCAGCTCACAAATGTCGACAAGGATGACACAAACAAACATTTTTTATTGATTTTTGTCTCTATTATTATCTTGTGAAATTTAATACAGAATCCATGTACCGGCAGTATTAACTTAGACAGATTCTATTGTATTGAACAAATATGTGTATGTTTTATGATGTTGTTCCTCACGGCCGAGTCGTTCGATAGTTTCCAAGCTCTAGCATCAGTCAAGCATGACAGGTCTTTGCTGCTCGTCAATGTCCAGTGGCAATAAAGATTAACATGTAAGGATTTGTTAGCTTGAAAAAGTTGAGTGATACCTTTGTAAATTGATTTGTATCAAAAGGTAAACAGCACCGTTATACAAATAATTCCTATGAAATATGCCTCATAAATAGTCTGGTATGTATGGAAATATATTTTTAAATTATTATAATGTTTGAGATTAATAAATATCAGTTAATATGACAAAACATCAAGGTTGAATTGAATATTTTGAATGATGAAATACATTGTACTAATAACATATTATCATTTCAATAAGATAAATTTGAAAAATCATTCATGTTTTTGTAAATTATAATTTGAAGATTTTCAGTTGTTGAAATTCAATATTTATTTATGATAATGTTCAGACATGTGCAAGAAGAAAATACAGCACCAGCATTATTGAAATGTCGCTTTTTATGAAAGTCATCTTACTTTATCTTATTTCAGCAGCAAACTTATCCAATTCATAAAACCTAAAGATCTAAAGAGTTAAAATAGGAAACACCAAACATAAAACATGATTGTAATGGGTTCATATAGTATAGCTTTGAAATATACAGCAACCATGTGACGAAGGTTTTCATGTCATTTGTGTAGTGTACTCATATATGACAAAAGAAGAAGTTTAATGTGATGTGTTGCGTCCTGAATACAAAAAATGCGGATCCTCGTGCCTTAGCTTCTTATGTTTGACTAATGGTAAATAAATGGATCTTGGTGACATTGTATGGGTTGGTGAGTGAATGAATGACTGGGTCCTTGCAATACGTAAAATATGTCTACAATCTGTGCGTGTTTGAAAGAGTGAACGTATTTGATGATAAATATGGATATTAGTCCGACAAGGCACGCGTATGAACATTGAGAGAGGTTGAGAAGATCTGTTTTTCCATAATGAGCTCCATTTTGATATTCTCCATTGGTTAAAAGGGATTTATTGTGATAGAAGCTATGAATAGAACAATGATATTGGACGAGGGTATCAATATGATATAGCATATTTCCATGTGTACTTCGAAGAAAGTGTAAAATGGATGATGTTAAGACTTTCTTAACATTGTAAAATTTCTAGTGCTCTCATCTCCCGGTGGAAAACACAGAACCAAAGGAGACATATACGGATTCTGGGTATCATATTAATTTTGTTGGATATAGTAGGTGCAAAGTGATTGATATAACCAAGTCGGGTTGCCTTGTCAATAATCCTGATCTCATGCTGATTTTCCTCCTTTCGAAAGATTGATAAATGAAAACCGGCGTAACTTTCTCCGAGCATTGCCTTTGCATTATGGTAGAAGGAGCGCAATATTCCCAAAACTGGCTAACTTATCAAACAAGCCGGTAATTAAAAAAAATATAAATAAAAATGCCGTCCGTCCAATTTGACATAAATGATCCGTTCACTGAAAGGCTTCATTGAAAATGCTCATCCCATCTCGGAACACACAAAATCCACAACCCGGATCCAGCCTTCGAGAGCAAAAGTGGCTGATGAGTTGTCGTTGAGTATGCTAAAGATGTCTCCTTGCACCCCGCGCCACTTCGTCACGGCGAGCACGCGCCTGCCCGCCTTCAATCTCCAGGCCCGAACAACGGAGACCGATCTTTAAAAGAAAGTTCAGAATCGGAGAGGAATGATTGGTCCGCTAATTAAGGCGACGTATCTTGCTCGAGGCAAATCTGTGGCGATGGAAGTCCCGAGGACGCAATAGCAGTCGGAGACGACCACTACAAGTTGGAAAAGAACTCCTGACAGGTCCCAGTTGTCCTCCAGCTAGTCTCGGCCTGCCGAGGAGGAATTGTTGTACGCCTGGAAACGACAGGCGACGACTACGAATTCCTGGCAAGGCTGGGACCTCGTGACTGATCGGAGGAGAATGCCGGAGATGCCTTTTCCCGACCGGCGGTAGTGATCGATGCACAGAGAGGACGATTGATTGACAGATTTGACTTGCTCCAACCTGATCACGGTACGGCTGGAGCCTTTCTCTGCCGCGAGCTAGAATCAAACGTGCGCGGTTTTGTTCGAGCTTTGATGTGGTCACAATGCTGCGCGGTGAGGTTGGCGATGGAATGTTGTCCTTGTCAGATCTGGAGGGATTCCGGATAGTTTTTTTTTTTGTTTGATTTTTTTTTTTTGGGTTGGTTTGCTGGCGTTGTACAATTTGCAGATTCTTTCTAGCAGTCCCACAATTTCGGTTCTGTACATTTCGTTGCGGTCGCTGTAGAAAGAGCATGCCGTGTTATTACGATAGCGTTGAGCCCGCTCGTTCGTCTTCAATCGTCAAAGGTAAAGTTCTGCTCTGGATCTGAAAATGAGGTGCAAAGATCGAACTCGGTCCTGCGTCTGTTGAAAGTTCTGTGCAGAGTCAGTCAACATGCTCAATCTACATATCAGCTGTTACCATTTTGCGTAGTTATGTGGAGGGTCCACTCTCGGACAGTGGGAACCAGTAGCACAGCTTCGGCGCAGAGTTTTAAGTGCTTCTTGAGATTACTGGTTCATTCGGTGATATCCTTTTTGTCGTTGATCGTAATTTAAAGCAAACGGTTGTGATCTTCACTTTTTTCTCAAGCTCTTTGAGAAAGATGGATCGTAGTGTAATTTTGGTGATCTTATAAAGAAGCGTAGAACTTGCCAGTTCATACTCCACGCTGAGTGTGAAATGATTTGACTTGAAGAAAGCTGTGTTAAAATTGGCCTGGGAGAGAAAAGTAAAAGTAGAAAATGAGAATTGATTGATGGATTTATACGATGAACGACAGGAACTGCTGGTTGAGGCTCGAAAGAAAGCAAAATCAGTTCGCTCTACCTCAAGGTTTTTAACGTGGAGGAACGTTTAAGTTTCTAGCTAGGAGAAGCTTAAGTGATTTTATGTTACCTAGTAGGGGATTTGTTAACCTGGGAAGAATGCTTCAGGTCTTTTAAGCTGAATTAATAGTCAAGCTACCGGGAATGTTTATTGTAATCTCCATCAATACCTGCATATTTCAAACTGCGAGTTTCATCCATGGCTCTTTTGTGGTACCTGAAGGAGCCCATCGAATGTACTTGATACACACAAACCACTTGCTCCTCCCTTTTTTCACTAAGCTTTTGTTGGAAACTGAAAACTTAAAGCTCAAAACTTTGAAGAGAGAAACTTCCCATAATTTAGCTGCAGCAAGACAGAATCGATGAATCCTTGTCGGCACATTTCGAAGTTGTGATCTGATCCATGAACGCTATTCAGGTTGCAACGTTATTGGATTTAATATACTTTTATAAGGAGAAGTATATGGAAATCGATGTGAATCCTTCCCTCAACTTCAGATTGCAAGCTTTATGGATCTCGTCATTGATTATCGTACAGCACATTCAAAACTTTTTCTTGTACCACCGTGGTCTTGCAGAACGCTCGTTGTCCACGACTCGCCTAAAGTTTGCAGCTATTCCTGTAGACAACGCTGCATGGGAGGAAGAAGGCACACATTCAACACACGAATCGGATATGTTAATTTGTTGATCTCCGAATATCTGTTCTGCAGGTTTTTATCAGTACTGATGACTGCTCATTGAAGACTCTGAATTTGTGTAGAATCTAAAAGCATTAAAGGTTTTGGTCAGGATTATGAAAGAACGGTGTAACTTCTACATCTTTGTCATATCTTGGTTAATGCATCTTTCTGTCTGTCAGGTGCTAGTATATAACATCAAAATTCAACGCTGCACAAAGAAGTAATTGTTGCAATCGCTTTACCATCTACAGGGATGCAGACCCCTTCTCCTTATAGCAGCCGGAACGGCTTGGCTTACCGATCAGCCGAAAATTACAAAGCACCATTGAAGGAGAAGTTTGTTTCTCTTTACGAGGACATCTTCGCCGGTCGAAGTCCTATACATACAGCCAGAGATCAAGGAATTCAAGGACGGGCAATTATAACCAGGTTTTGGGACGAGTTACTCCTCCTCAAGGTCAGCGAAGGAACCTATTATTAGCTGCTTATATGCCAACAATTTATACTAATGCTTCAAGAAAAAACTGCAAGTCTTTGATTTAACCGCATGTTATATGAAATTTCTTCATGAAAACTACTGGTCTTTTCTGCAGGTTAATGAAACATTTCTCGCTCAAGTCATCGCAAAGGCTAGTGAAGATCAACTCAGAGGAAATCTAAAGCCTATAATTAATGAGCTCTTTGCTACATATTCAGCGTAAGTCTTTGTTATCATTTTCTTCATTTTCTTCATTTTCATTGTTACTCTCAGATAGTAATTTACTGGGAGGAGTCTTCTAGTGGGTGGTGAATTCTTAAGAATCTCCAGTCGAGTATTGTGATTCTATTTCTTTCCAAGTACTCAACTTAAGTCTATGAGTCAGTAAAATTGATCAGATCAGATTGAATGTTGCTGACAAAATATTCACATTTTAATGGATAAATCGAAGTCTGACCATTGATTTCACATACTGTGGCTGAAGCAGAAGGTCAGCTCAGTAAGTTGCTACTGTCTTTTGATGAGATTCTGCATCGTCTCAAGACAAAGTCCTTGTTACTTCGGTCGTGCAGGTACCTCAGCGATGGAAACTTCATTCGTGTTGCTCATGCTCTTGAAACTCTGACTATTCTCTTAAGAGAAATTTTCAAGAAGCGATTTACGGAACAGGTGAGAATTGATTTGTCCTGCCAAAGTGCAAGGTACCCATTTACGGGGCTTGTGGTGGCTGGTATGTTGCTCGCAGTTCCATATAAATTTACATATTTGAGTTGTTGTTTGGATTGTTCACCTGTACGAAGTGATTTTTAATATCTAGGGGCTCGTTTCCAGGGTTATTCAATCATCACATTGGTCGCCGGCTCTGTAGAACAATCCGATTCTTTTTTCAGGCGTTTAGTGACCAGTATCTCCAGTCTTCTCACCAGAGACGACGTACCTGTGCTTGTGAAATCACTGGGCTTGAGGTAAAACTTTCCAATCGTTCAAAACACTCACAACATGTTAATATTGCAGAGCAAACTTTTTCCAGGTTAAGACGAGATGTTGGAAGTCGTTTTCCTTTACGAAATTCGCAGACTCTGCAAAATTTTGTCATTTGTGCTAATCTTGATCAGTCATATTTTTTGCAATGCAGGGTGTATTTGACTATTCTTATTGCCACAGATAACGTGAACACAAACACAATTGCAAGCTATCTATTTGTCAACAACATATTCGATTCGCTTCTGGCCGTCTTTAACATAAAACTTTCAGCCGATCGGAAGAAGCTCGAACTTGATGTCACTCTCGTTCTCATCTTGCTTCTTCTATGGAGAGAAAGTGCAAATCCTTATGCTGAGCGGTTAGCTTCAACTGCTGCTCCAGTTATTCCACTTCTTCACACTGTGTCTTCGCTCCTCTTGACTCCAGCAAGGACATCAACGGAAAATGAAACATCCAACTCATCGTACACAGTTTGGTCTGGCGCAGATGGAGTTTTTAGTCTCATCGGAAATTTGTTAGGACTGTGGCCATCGACTGATAGCAGCGGTCAAGGAGGGACTGGAGTGGCAGGCACAGGATCTGCTAAAGGAACAGAGGTCTTGGATGTCAAGTGGTGCAATAATACCGCTGCAATTGTATTGATATACTTCTTGTGCTACTTGAATCCTGCAATGAAATCTACACAGGTGAGTTTGAGTTTTTTGACTGTTTCTGCTGGACTCCTCTTGACATACATTGTACCATTAGATTGAATCAGTTCGATATCGCTTGTGTCGCTCTACCTTTTGTTTGTCCACATGTTGGCCGGTACTCTGGGACTTGGCTTATTATATGATAAGAATGCCCAAGCATAGTAACTCCTCCGAAACTCATGGTTGCAGATATGGCCATCTTCAGATTTCTCTCCAGTTCAAGGTGCAGGGACCACTTCTGGGCAGACAGCGGCATTGCTGTGGATTGACGTGTTTAAGTCCTTTCTCACTCTCAGTAAAGATGTTTTGTCCCGCATGTCTACCACAGGCGTTGTTGGAGTCATGAGAGGAAAACTGTGCTTGACAATTCTTCGGTGCATGGTTGAGAATCATGTGTCAGCAGATTTCCTTTCTCGTGCCGATGCAGATAGTTTTTCTCTTAATCAAATGCCTGCAATTGGAGTGGTGGGAATTCCATGCGTACTCCAGTTTAGAAGTTTGTCATGTGTCATAGTCGATCTGGCCACAAGTGTCCTCCAAATGAAGCCAGACGTACCTCATATGGATTCTGATGTCTTCCACCGAGCGGCATTATTAATTCCAATCGTTTTGAATCACCTAAGATCTCGAGGATGGCAACTGCTTTCGACAAGCATCAACTGGTTAGGCCTATGGCAAGCGCTAGCTGGGACCTGTACTTGGTGTGCAACGGAGACGATGTTTCAAAAACCAGGCGTGCCAGAGCTGGCGGAGTTAACTCTGGGAATCCTTGAGTCATGTATAGGGAACAGCCAAGAACTCTGCGGGGCTCCCGATGAAACAGATCGTCTGCACGCCATGGTATTAGCAAACTCGACTGGCCTAGAGCAGTTGGCGCAGACAGCATCTACCAGTCGATATGGTGATACTGGAAAGTCGGCACTAAGAGATGGCCTTCGACTGGTATGTTCTGGTTTTCTCGCTCCTTATTAGACACAGCTCTTGTTTCAAATGCTTTATAATATATAATCGCGGACTTTGATACCAGAAAAGTACAGATTTCAAGTTGTATCTTCCATACTCATGAAAGACTGCAAGCTGTTCGGTATTATATTCGGAATGTGAAGGCTGTAGCAAATTGAAGAGTTTTATGCATAAGACTGACCTATGTACGTGGGCTTGTTCCAGGTCAATGTAGCTGCAATTAAATTTCACTATGAGGTGCAGGTCGCTGCTCTAGGAGTTCGAGGCCAACCTACATTTGAACAAGCCTTGTTGGGAGTTAAGAAAAAGGGATTAGCCAACCTAAAGTTGAAACACCTACATGCTGGACCAGGACATTCTTATACAGAAGGCACAGTTGAGCATCGGATTCTGATAAACTTGGTCCGATATCTGGTAGCCGAGCATCGGCAGCATCTTTCCTCCTCAGGTAAACTCAAGTTGGAGTTAGAAACGACATAACCGCATTTATAGAGAAATCACACAGATATGTATTGATATTAATAGTTTATGTCGGCAGCTTGTAATTTACGATTATGAAAGCAAGATGTAGAAAGTAGGAACATATCTTGAACAGTCGTGGAGCTAGCAACAACTGAAGCCAGGGCAGCCACGACTTATAAGTACTTATGAGTACCTGCTGTCATGCCCTTACGTTCTTCACGACAAACCGGACTCCATGAGAAAACGAACAGTCTGCCATAGTTAGTTTTTGTGGATAATTGTATCAAAACTTTCTCAAACCTTACTGCATCTTGAAACTACTGTCGAGAGAGGACGGATCTTGTCCTGATTTACTGCAACTGGAGATGAAAACTGAACCGGGTCAGTTTCATACTCTCAAGAGATGGATTTTCAATTATCATAGGGTTACGAACTTTCAGGTCGTGCGATTGCAATCGGGATTGAAATGCATTACCGACCCTCCAGCTCTGCTCTTAATGGAGTTAGGAATAATGACCGGTTGCATGAATGATCATTACCATATTGTTTCTCCTTGCTTGTGTGACTTCATTTGCATGCACTCTTATCACTGGCTCTACTGCTTCTCGAAAAATGGGAACGTTGGATGCTTCTAGCGCCGCAACAAATCAAAGAACTTGGATAGTTGGAGATTAGTCAAACTTAAGCGGAAACCAAGCAAACATGGTCGGGTTTCAACGGCATCCATTTACCATGCTGCTTGGATCTAGTTTCTTGCAATTTGTCGGATGTTTTGGACATTCGTAGGTCATATCGTTTTTTCAGAGCAGGTTTTTTTAGACGAGATCTCTTCTTGCTGAACCTTCAAGTCTTCATGAAGAAGATAGTAAACCTTTTTGAGAGCACAGCCGGCTAAATAGGAGTTTATAACTGATGGCTCTATAGTTTTGTGCTGTCCAATGATCGAAATACTGTTTGGGAACCCAGTTTGCTGAGGCTTGCAAAGTTGACTATTGTACAAAGCAGTAGTGTTTTGTACAATAGCAACTAGTACCCCAACCGGTCACCCAGGCGTAAATCTCAGGCCGGTGGCGTTAAAAGTTTCTCTTTTCTAGAACTTTTCTATGTACGTTGTCTTAGCTCTTTCCATGGCGCGGAGTCCTTAGTCTGAGTTTAAAAATGAGGTTTGTGATAAGTGCAATCCCAGAGTCAGGTCTAAGACTGTAATTGAAGCTAGCATTACACTGGATAGGAAGAATGTGAAAAGAGGGAAAAGCTGGTTCACGGCTTGCGTGTGCATGTGTGCAATGGACTTACCCTTTAGGGGAACGGTAGAATGCTTGGAACGAACAGATGGTGAGTGATTCATTGCTGGATAGTGTAAGCAAGGTGAACATTCTCATATGGGGATCCTGCCGTTTGTGTAAGGTGTATTACTGAGAAAATGTCATTATTCTTCTACAGAGCAAATGAATGGTGGTGGCTGGAGGCACATTAGGCGCCATAGTATGGGATAGGTCTGCTTTGTTGGCTTATGGCAATCAGTTCTCGAAGGTATAGTTAGATCGATGGAAAAGCCAGGATTATATTGGCAGGGTTATAACGGTAAGGCTTTCAGCACATGTAGGTGCTGGACAAGCTACAATCTCTTTTAGAGAAGTCGCACGGGTAGGTTCAACATAATGCTCCGATGCTCAAAAAGGAAGGATTAGGCACACTATATCTCGCTTATCAAAATATGATGAAGGTCTTATCGATAAACTACATATGTACAGTTGATATAATTCTCAGGAGGCATTACTTATCTTTCGTTGATTCAGATACTTTTTAAACATTTGATGTTATTACTAATGGTCTTATAGTCCCACGCAACTGAAAGCTGTGTGGTTCTGTCAGAAGACGCCTGTCGCCATTCTTGCAAATGAAATCAGAGATTCACGTCATATGGGTGGAGAGAGTCTCGACCGGCAGTATATTTCCCTTTTAGCTACTCCTTGTTCCTGATTCTGTTTCCTCCTCGCTTCCTACAGAAGCCATGAATTTGCCGGCCTCGAATTGCTGGTTGGCTGCTCTGGAAATAATAAAGCGTGTATAAAGAATGAACATGGGAAAAAAAAATAAAAATTGGGCCCATAAGAACCTGTGGGAACATCTCACAAGTTCCCAAGGACGTCTGACGGGCATAAAGTTCGTATCGCTGTATAAGCTTAGGCCTTAAGGTTTGAAGTCGAAAGTTCAGCCAAGTTTTCCTCACAAGTTGCTTTCAGATTCTGTCGGACTAGGAATCTCGAGAAGGCTACTTTACAGGCAGAGATGATCGAGTTTTCCCATCGAAGCCAGTAAGTTCATTTTAGGAATCGCAAGGGTCGAACAAGCAGCATTGCAATTTGAGTAACTGAGGTCTCACCAAGCGTTCAGCGGGCATTGGTGATCGGGGATGGCACATCGGACCTCTCTCAAACAAGTGCATTGTGGATCCTTCTTATACACTTTGGAGGCCGTGAAGAACAGGAAGAATGACCTCGAACGACCGACACAGTTCTCGGTTACCTGGTGACTGCCCTGACGGAGTTGGGTGTACGTATTGAAAATCTGCCGTGCAGACGAACAGGAGAAACTGGGCAGTCCTTCTTATCACCGTCTCCCAATATGGGTCGGGCAAGTACGTCCGTCACCCGAGGCAACGCCATGCATGGAATTTACTACGACGTCCTGAGTTCCCTCAACCAAGACATGTCGGAATACCTGTTTACTTCATGGTCGAGCGGACGGAGTCCGCTGCATTTCGGCCGGCCTGTCCCTCAGTGGGAGATCGAGAGGCCGTGAAACATTCCGGCAAAAGTAGTGTTTCCCATCTCATAGTTATAAAAGGACCGAACAATTTGCACTCGGGAGACTTTTATCGCATTTTTTAATATCCTCTAAGTTATATCGACAACCAGATTAGACTGATATGATTTGCCTGTCAACCAACGAGATACTTTTTGAGAAATTCGTTGTGTTTTTATTAAACTAATCCTAAACACCAAAAATTAGAAGTGTAATTTTGGGTGCACTTTGTAGGCACTCGAATGAAGCTTCATTTCTTAAAAAAGAAGGAGATGGAATCCAGTGCATTTAATGACTTCTACTCTGGGAATGGAAGTCGTGATAATCTTAATGGTGTCTGCGGATTATTGAAACACATTAGATCTCATTAAAAATTCAGTGTTTGGTTACCGGACGCATTTACAGTGAGAAAGAATCCGGCGGTCTGGTAGACTCCGTCTGACCGAGGCTGACATGAGCCCATGCACTTGCCAGATCGGTGTGGGATCGATGGGTTTCGGTCGGGCTGTGCATGGAAGGACATGGATGGATGGATTGAAGACCTAAACCTTTGGATCATTAGATCCGTGGCGCTGATCCACGGCTTGATATTGTTAGGGTTTGAGACAGGGCTCTCTCGCAGAGGGTTATTGCAGGTCCGTCGTTCGTGTCACTCCTTTCTCCTCCCACACTCTCAAGCACGACCAAGTTTTTCGACTTACCTCCTGGTGTGTGCATCAGGCCTAGGGTTTTGAATTCGTCGCCAGATTCCGTCCAGTTTTGATGCAGAGTGTTGCAATTTCAGATCGATACGTGTTCTGCTTGAATTAATGAGTTTCTGCCCATCGGTCTGGTGTGGTTGGAGATCTGTTTTCTGAGCTCCGTTTGCTGATCTGTGTGCAGAAAGACGCCAATTAGACACAGTTGATTGTCGAGATGGCCGACGGGTATGGATACATTATCTTTCTCAATATGGTCTTCTCTATTATGCCCTTTGTCATTTAGCCTTACGAAATCAACCTGCGATTGCACACTGGATCGATTGCTTCTCCTCTCGTGTTACTTCCCGAGTCAATCGAGAATGTGTTCGTTCTGGCATTGATGCATTGGCATGAAAACCTATTCCGGTAGCTGATCAGGTCATGAATGAAGTTTCAGGAGCTCCAGGAGCTGATCTGATTGTTGCTCGTAAATTGCAGTGAGGAAGTCGCCAGTGATGTTCTGGCCGAGGCGCCCGCTGCCGCCGCCCCCACCCTTGGGGAGCCCATGGACATTTTGACCGGTCTCCAACTCGTGTTGAAGAAGTCACTTGCTCACGATGGTCTGGCCCGAGGTCTTCACGAGTCAGCCAAGGCTATTGAGAAGCACGCTGCTCAGCTCTGTGTTTTGGCTGAGGACTGCAACCAGCCCGATTACACTAAGCTGGTTCAGGCTCTCTGCTCCGAGCACAATGTCAACCTTATTTCTGTTCCCAGCGCCAAGAAATTAGGCGAGTGGGCAGGGGTACGTAATCATCATCCTTATAAAACCCAAACTTGTGAAAATTTCAAATGCTTGTCACTTTGAAAGTCTTACATTTTTCTGCATTGCAGCTCTGCAAAATCGATTCCGAGGGCAAGGCCAGGAAGGTTGTCGGCTGTTCATGCGTTGTAGTCAAGGTGAGTTACGCTTCTCTGCTCACGTCACAATATCAATTTTACTGTAAATTTGACATATAAATCAGCTCAACATAATGATAATTTAAAAAGCATTATCATATCGTGGCCAATTATCGTTCCAAGGACGTTCTGCCATTCGATGTGAGCTCTCTTACTCCACTGAGGTTGGCAATTATAAATGGTTTACACCAATTATCTAAAAGTTTCCCGTGCCGATTTGACAGGATTACGGTGAAGAGACCGAAGGTTTGAACGTCATCCAAGATTACGTCAAGAGCCACTAGAGGTCCAACTTACAGAGTAAATAGATTTCAGTGGTTGACCAATATAGGAGTGCAAGGGGAAGGTATATTCTACAATGCCTCCAACTTAGTGATGTCACATTTGACTCGATCAGTTGGTGAATCTCATAGAGAACGAACTCCCGTCAGGGGTTCCTGCAACTTGATTATGAAGGTTCTGTACAAGATGCATTTGAACTCTTCTCCTTCAAAATTTTGATCCTTATACATTTTCAAGGACAAAATGGCTTCTTCATTGTCCCCTGTATGCGAATGGAAAATTGTCAACAGTTAAAGAGTGACATCCACGGACGATGTTTCTTTTTCACTGCAATGAATGTGTCCGATTATTGTTTGTGATGTGAGGAACACAATCCAACGCGGAATCAATTCTGAAAGGTGTCAAGAGAACGTGGACACATTCGATCAAGAGGGGATGAGCGGCATGCGTAAGGGTGCATACGTAATTGGTGCTCCTTATCCGTGGTGTTGATGTTTATCAGTTCAGTGCTGACTGTGCCCTCGAATGTCGGATTGTTGTACATCTCGCATTTTCAAATGTAGATTAAATCTTCAAGCGGCAGGAATCTCGAGTTACACGCTCAGTCTACGGAGAAGTAAATGTAGCAGAAATTCACCCCCCGGTAAGAATGTTGTACTTCAAGATGGCTTGCCAAAGGTAAAAGAGTTATGCCATGCATCGTGAGTATTGAATCTTCAAAAGAAGAATTTGGAGTAATGTAGCTTAAACATGATAACAGTTCAGTCGAGACAAATCTCATAGTGATTATACGAGGAAAATGGAGAAGATTAATACTGAATATTTACAAATTCAATGGGATAATTGATATGCAGCCAAAATCATCGTGTAAACTCTCACGCAGAGAAGGTGAATCATGTTGAGAACTGAAAATTCGATAGATGATCGAAAATGTTGACGATAAATTGCTCCACACAAAATTGAAATACACCCTTCTCAAACCTCGGCATCGATTACAAATATATTGGAACATGTATAACGCACTACACACGACAAAATCACAACTGCACGGCAAAATTTCACTTGCTCGGCAAGTATGGAAAAATTCGGCACAGACTTATCAGTTGTAATTCCAAGTGTTCTACACATCGAAGGTTGACATGTGCGACTTAACTGATTGACTCCTACTCACTCGGAGCCTATACTCAAGTAGTTAGCGTGGAAGATCAACGCAGTTCAGAAAATGACCATAGTCGATATATAGTCGAAACACTGTGAGACAACTGCGCAAGCCCTTTCAAGGCACGGATCGAGGTTGGTTTCCAACATTATCACCGAACATATTCCAATACCTACGTATTATTTCATATACCACGAGTTGATTCCATAAAATACTATATATTTATTTTATATTATAAATAAAGAAATTAAACAATAATGAAATATACGAGCGAAGAAATATAATTTCGAGAAGTGTGGAGCTACTATTAGAAAAAATAAATGAATGAACACTTTAGAAACAATGCTAAACAAAAAAACATAAAGAGTTATGGTTGTTTTTTCAAAATGCAAAATAACCCTGAAATCAATCATAACTTTATTTTAACTAGAATGAACTAAAAACAAAGAATTTCTATTTGATATATATACACTCGTCCGTTATGAACATATAGTCCAATGAAGATACTATAAGATTGGTGGTACTTACCGTATGTACGCCAAAGAATACGGTGTACTTGGGGAATGGACCCAGAGATGGCGAATGTGGCCAATATCATCCACAAGGGACGAAGGCACCCCCGGGCTCGCGAGCAGTTGGCCAGCGGACACTCTGGACAACCTCCGTGCCATGAGAGGAAACTAGTGGCGGAGGCGTCGGGCGAGGTGGATGGTGAGAGCAGCCAGAGGCCGTGATGGAGGCTCAGGTGGGCGGTCCACATCATCGGACCTCAAGACAGCCGGTCCGACTCACCATTGCGATAGCGTTGTCCGATGGCCAACACCAGTATCTGCTTCGGACAGAGCAGGAAATGAGAACGAGCTCTCGTGTCGGAGCCAGCGGACCAGCGGACCACTTCACGTGTCTGCCTTTGAACATCTGAGACTTGAGGCCTGCTCGCTTATCATCACCGAGACAGATTTCGACGAAAGGTCTGAGGAGCAGATCGCAGCAGCTGGCCAATTCCAGCGCCCTTCACTCAGGCAGGCAGGCAGGCAGGCGGTAGTGATGGCCAAGCGGATTCCTTCGATCAAGTTTCCAAATCGTCGCGGGCCTGCCGCCGCAGGGAATAGCGCTCCAATTGCCGGTAAGGTTTTTCCTCTCTTACTCTCCGAGGGTTGATATCGCTGTCTGGGATCTCTTCTTGTAATCAGACTGTAATCATAGACGATTTGCGCAGGGGTGGCTGATTCATGAAGCGCAATTCGTCTTCGTGTTGTTGTCGTCAACCTCAGTTTTTATTCTGGCGCGTTGAACCCAAGGCTGTGCATTACGCTATGCTTTGGGTCACAGATTGTTGCTTTTTGTGAAGCTTTCCGCTGATTGTCATCTCTCCAACTTGTTGTTATTTGCAACTTGCTCTGAACTCCAACTTCAATATGATCCATGTCATCAGCGCAAAGCAGGGTTTAGGATCGATTTCGTGAGTCCTTACAGTAAGCCCAGTACTTTAACCTTAGATTGTGGCTAGATGGGTCTAACAGTACTGCAATTGTGTTCCATAGTCAGGTTAGAAATCCTATCTGTCTAAAACATTCTCCGTGTAGTAGAGACCCAAATTTCTCATTTGAGACAGAGGGACGGATTTGATCACTTCAGAGTGGTATATCTGCGTTCCTGAGCAACACTGAGTTAAACATTATCCAGGCGACAATACCAAGGCTTCAGTCAGTGAGTCGTCGTATGGTTATCTCGAAGTTGGACATCCATTGCATCGGCTCTCTCTCTGCTCCATATGTGGGCTCATTCATATTCCAAAATGTTCGCTTCAATGTTGATTTGGACTGGTGGTTTTGTTGTCAATACGAACTACCAACATATGCTCACTTTGTTGAGCTTCATGGTTCAAGAGCACTTGATAGAATGGAACTTTGCGGTGGGACGGGTGTATTAAATGCGATCAAGCTATCAGAATGATTCAATTAACCCTACAATTGATTGATATTTACACTTACATTTCCGTTAATAACCGCTTTGAAATGATGAACAGCTCCTCCAAAGGTGACACCACCACCAGCCTCTGCCACTGCCGGGGCTGCTTCAATTCAGCCAAGACGACCAGCGGTTTCCAAGGAGGAGATTGAAGCTGTACTGGTAATTACTCCACTCTCTAAGCTCGACTGTTTCGAGAGTGAATGATATACGTTTGGCACCAAAAAGTGAAAACTTGAAAGGGAGGAAATTCTAAAGCCGCAGGCATGTAAATAGATCAAGAAAAACATGTTGATGACAAATACAACCCAACCGAGCTAAGGGGATAGTTTTCCTACCAAAGGATTGTATGCTGGAATAGATGCTGAATTTATACAGTAGAGTACTGAAGCCGTTTTTACTCTTGCTCGCAGCTTGGTGGTGGAGTTGGTTAAAGTATATGCAAGTTGCAGCCTTTGGAATGGAGCTAGCCGAAGTTCTTCCGTAAGTTTTGAGCTTTTCTATGGCGACCCTGGAAACAGGTGTCACTTACATCAGAGGGACCCGGTGTACTTGAATCGTCCTTGCCACCGTTCACCATATCATTGCAGCTTCTAGGAGGGCCACATGCAGATGAAAGATGTCAGATGAAAAAGTTGAGGTGACCTTGAGACATTGTCGTCGAACAGTATCCAGGAAAGTCAAAATATGACTACTGGGAATTGCTATCGGTGTTCAATTGGACATAGCTCATGATCTCTTCTTGATCTTTTGGTGACTATACGAATCTTATTCATGGAAGTTGCTTGCACATGGTCTCTTCTATGTTACTAGGTTAGCAGGTGAGCGACTCTTGGATGTGTTGACAAGGGCTTACAGGGGATGATGATGGAAACATTTCTAGAGAATGCGCTGTAGTGGATACTTGTAATATAAAACAAAAAACGAGAGTTTTACCTTCAATCAAGATCATGGACAGAATCCAATATGATTGTTGTTGTCTTGTCTGTTTGGGACAATAGTTTTAATTTTCCATTTTAGTTTGTGGAGTTTCACTCTCCTTTATAGTGGAACAAAAAGTGGGATTTTCAAGAGCACGAATGAAAGCTAAAAATAGTTGAGTTTCGCCACGATAACGAGAATGAGTAATGGGCAACTCAGGCACGAGAAGGCTTGCCTCTTTCTGGTAGCAACATATTTTGTTGATTTTGTAAGACCTTGAGAAGTAAAGGTAGAAGTTAACCATCCAACAATATGCGCTAAAGACTTGTCTACAGTCTACATATGAGTTCCATTTGGTAGAACCACATCAGCAAAAGCGACATAGTTGTAGCTTACTCTTTGATTCTCAGGTGGGGTATTTCCATGTTTTTCTGAAAGCACCCAAATTTGTGGAGTATCAAAACATATGAATTTGAGCAGTGTCACGTCACTGGTACACTTATTTCAAGTAAATTGCGTAATCAAAGCCTGGGTTTTAGGCAACTTTTTCGCATATGCTCTCCTCCTTACTGTACAGGATATTCTAGCATGAACATGTTTAAAACTCCACTTGACATTCTGTTTAAAACTCCACTTCGACACGAGTGTATTGGGGAGAGAGCATATTAGGTTAGGAGGATTTGAGTCATTTTTCAGAGATTCTAAAACTGCAGTTGCTTAAACTTGAGATCGAGGAGATAGTTAATTGTCGTTTTGAACAAGATTGAATATTGTGCAGTGAATCATTAGTAGGTTTTACTAGTTTGAGTACAAATGAGATATGCTCAAATATTTACAATGGATTCATTGCTTATAGCGAATGATTTCAAAGTTAATATTCATATGTATATATATATATATATACCTTCTGTCTTTCAAAATATGGTTAAAGTTTGGAAATGATTTCAATTACTTAGCATAGCAGAGAATAAATATCTCTGCAATATAATAATTTGAATCTAATTCAAATGAAATGGATAATACGATATAGTTAATTTTTTATGTTATTATTTTATTATGTTATGACTAAGATTTAATTCTAATTAATTTGTGTGTAAAAATTTGTTTTGTGTCAAATTTACTTCCTGAATTTTTTGTTTAATAATAAAATATATAACAAAGATTACTATTTCTTTCACATGAGTCAAGAGTGAAATTGTTGAAACTAACTTTTGTTAAGGAATAACACGAGGTTCTAACTATCTATAGTTAGGTTTGTGGTTTGTGTTGGATATATATGTATCCCAAGGCTTCTACTCTGTATGTATTGCATTCAGTTGTAAATAAACTCTCTAGTGTGTTCCAGCCGTGGGCATAGACCTCTGAAGAGTGAACCACATTTTTTTTATCTCGTCTAATCATGCATGTGTCCTTTGATTTACCCTTAGCATTATAGCCATGGTAGAAAGAAGCGTGCTTAGAATGTACATTCAAATTTATGGTGTTCATAGCGATGTACTTGAAATGTTTCAATAACAATTTTAAAAAAGAAGTGTTGGCAAACTCTACATAATCTTGATAAGTAATTTTTATCAAAAAAACTTCGTTTCAAATATAATTTTAAAAAAAATGTTGGACAATTCTACATAATCTATAATCTTGACAGGTATTTTTAACAAGAATCGTTGTTTCAAGTATAATTTCAAATGAGTAGAGTTGGTCTAACTCTACATAATCTTGACAAGTAATCTTTATGAAGAAACTTTGTTTCAAGTATAATCTCAAAGAAGAAATGTTGACCAGCTTTACGCAATCTTGACAAGTAATTTTTATCAAAAAATCTAGTTTCAAGCATAATTTGAAAAAATGGTGTTGGTCAACTCTGTATAATTTTGATAGGTAATTTTCATCAAGAAGCATTATTCTAAATATAATTTTTTTAAAAAAGCGTTGGTCAACTTTACACAATTTTGACAAGTAATCTTTATCAAAAGACATTGTTTCAAGCATAATTTGAAAAGTATTGTTGGTCAACTATACATAATCTTGACAAGTAATTTTCATCAAGAAGCGTTATTTCAAATATAATTTCTAAAAAAAAGCGTTGGCCAACTTTACCCAATCTTGACAAGTAAATGTTATCAAAAACCGTTGTTTCAAGTTTAATTAAAAAAAGAACTGTTAGCCCAACTTTACGCAATCTTGACAAGTAATTTTCATAAAGAATAGTTGTTTCATGTACAAATTTTTTTAAAAAAGCATTAGCAATTTTTACACAATCTTGACCAGTAATCTCATCAACATTTTGTTTAAAATTGCCAATACTTCATTTTGTTAAAGAGATTTGAATCCAAAAGTCAAGCGAGATTGTTGATCTTAAATTAATCAAAACCATTGAACATGTTCAAAAAAGAAAGACACTTGAAAACAATTTTAAATGGATGTGATGACTCCAATGATGCACAATTAACTAATTAAGATGCACACATGAGCATTAATTAAAAACGTTCTAGATCCATATTAAACAATTGCAACTGTTTAATATGATAACAATTAAGATTGAATTCAACAATCTCGTTCACAAGTATGGTATTTTCAAATGGAAAAATAATCTTAAAAAATCTAACTATCATTACACTTATCATAAATGTGAGCAATTATACTACTTATTTTAATTCATTGTTGTACATTGTTGTAATATTCATTGTTTGCCATTGTCATGTAGTCAATCATTAGTCTCTTCTTCCTTAATGTCCAACATATTGTTCAAATGAACAATATGTTTGATTATGATAGCAATTAGCAATATTGCTATCAAATTAAACAATTATGGAACCAAGACATCCATATGATCAAAAAAGTATCATAAACAAGTACCTCATGATTACAAGTCATGAAACAAGGAGTAAAATCGCAAATCTATAAACATGATCATGGTACAACTTGCAACGAGACGACTTGGACGCGGACGGTAGGTCTGAAAACCTACGACGATTTTGTGGAGGGCTCGTTTCTGATCATCATCAGGTTCAAATTATACGTATATGCATTGATCCATCCCGTCTACCTTGCCAGCTTTGAAGTTTGGCTAGTTCACAATAGCCCCAATCGCCATGCACATCTTCGGGTCCACCTCACCAGAGAGCTGAGCAGCGGAACTGTGCAGCTGCATGAATGACTGAGTTGATAATTCACGACGCCATCCATGGCTGTACAGGAGCGTCGAGGCCGGGCTGGATATACTCTATGGAATGTGCACCTTCGAACATTCAGCGCCTTTACCGAAACGTACCGCTGAACGACTCTGGCTGCTCCACTAGAGTCCAATCATCGTCGTTGTCGTCACCTTATTCTAATTCTTCTTCTTCTCCTCCGTCGTTTTCTGCTCTTGTGCGGTGGGCCCTCGCACCCTCCCTCATCCCATGGCTGCGTTCTATTCTGCCGGGATGGACATGGGTCTGGAAGATATCGGTAGAAGCCTGCGGTGACTATTCGAGAGAAAGGAGACTGCTCTCGGCCCTGATGTAACGAGGCTAGACAACCTGGAGAAACCTGGAGGCGAAGGAAGCCTCCATATCCAGAAAATAGTGCAGACTTCGAGAGTATGGAGAGTATTACGAATGTGGGGTCTCATTCCTCCGCACTACGAAACATGTTGCTCTAACTGCCTCAGCTAATATAGCTGCATGCTTTGATCCTTGATAATCACAAGTATAATTTTTTGGTGGATTAGGGACATACATCCAGAATTGTCTCTGGGATTCTTATTACTGTGTTTCTTAAACTCGTATTCGAATTTCTAAACTCGTTGCTTACACCGCCATCACATCATATCATAAAATCTCTTCCGTCCGGAAAAATCATCAGGATGATCGTCTGATGTGCATTGATAATTTATAAAATACGCATGCAAATTTACATTGAATTTCAAATTTACATATTGCTAGGTGTACATTGAGTTCTTAGTTCTGAAGATGTAGGAGAAGTGCAGTTATGAAATGAATATTTTTTTCATTGAAGATTTATGTATCATGATGATTTATGTAAACTCAGATGTCCATTTTTTTTGCACAAGAAGTAACTGGACTGTAATTTGCATAAACTATGCTTGATCTTTCAACACCACAGCTTCTATAATCGTAGATTTGTTTCTAAACCCACTACTATGATATATTCATACATGAAAATATTGGACCGAGACTATTGTTATAACCTCAATTGTAGTATCCAAGAAAAAATAATTTGCTTGCCGGAAGAGTCTACATTAATCAGTGACTAGATCCATCATTGCAATGAACATATATCACAACTTAACATATGGGTGTAAAAGTGTAAGTATCATAAGCAGTTCTCACATGTTCAACATGCTTATTTGAAAGTTATAGTCCAAGAATAAAATATATTAACTTATTTTTATTTTTATTTTTAATAATTTATTTAATCAATTGAAACTAGATGTGTTGACAAAAGAGCTTATATTATTGTTTTGAAATCAAATTGAAAATTAAATTGATCTCACGATGGATTTAGATAATGTTTTTTTATATTTATTGATTTTGTGGCAATGACAATTGAGTTGAAATTTCAAGATTGTAAGTAATTTCAAAACATTGAGTATTCTAGATGTCAATTGTAAAGCTAAAATACAAAGTTATGAGTTAGTTAAAATAATGATGAATTTGACTATACTTTGATGTAAGGTTCAAAGCTAGAAATAACATATGAAACTTTAGTTGTAGTCTAAATTCTTTTCCATAAACCTTATAATCACATTTTGCTAGATTTTATATAACTACGACATAGCTTACAACTAGTATTTTTGTTTGAATTAGTTTGTTTATATTGATTCAATTCAACGAGTTTAAATTAGAAATTGTACACATAGCCAAAGTATTGACGAGATTGCATTGACATTCAGAAACTTAACGCTGTGATCATAAAATCTGCTAAACAAGGTTGAATATGCAATTCTTTCTAGAATGGAAACTTGGATGATTTAATATATTTTGAAAGGATTTTCTTGATTTGAAGTTCGGGATGTGTGATGATATTGATGTGAAATAGCCTGTGTAAGTTGACTTTGATTATAAAATATTTTAAGATATTGTGTTGATATAGAATCAATAACTCTCATAGAGAATTGAAATGCAAGAATTTAAAAATTTAAAAAAATTAGTTAACCATCTAAATTTCAAATACTAAAATTTTTCAACGACTAAGTTTTACTTCTTGTAAACATCTAAATCAGTAGATGAAGAGAGTAATACATGACAGCTAACAATAGAGAAAAGAACTTTAATTACAAATCCAATTGTTTGTATCGAGGAAACGTCTTATGCCCATCGGAGCAAACCTAGAAGTATCATGTGACATGATCTATGTATACGTCATGTCTAAAAGACATTGAAAATGCAAAATCATAATATAGTAGTATAATAGCTTTTTTCTAGCACATACAAATAGTAGTTTACACAACTTGAAGCATAGAGTAAACTATGAATACATGTGTGATATTCTTACTACACCTTAATGTATATCGATTTAAGCAGCATGTATTCACAAGCTCACGAAGTTTTTATCGGCCATATGACCAAGCTTCTCATCACATCACGTCTGTGGAGTTGTCAAAAGTGTGATAATGTAGTTTTTATATTTTTTTCGATAAGAGTAAGTTTGAGGAGTAAATGACTAGGAATTTCAAAATTTTAGTATAAGAATACTTTGAAGTACCTAAAAAAGTGGATTCGGTAGAAGATGCCAAGTTAGTAATAGTAGAATCTATATTAAACACCTTTCTGTTGAAGTTAGTGTTGTTATTTGTAGGCAATAATGTTGAGTAAGATGAGTTATGATCCAATAGAGTAGATGATCCATAACTTTTTCAATAAGTGGTACTTGCCTTAGGCAGGATTTCAATAAATAGAGCTCGGCGTGCTCATTCCAACGAGCCCAAGAACATCGGAAACGGATGAGAGAATTACACGTTATAAGTGTAGGAAGCGAAGTACATGTTAAGGTGCTCATTCCAACGAGCCCAAGAACACCGGAAACGGATGAGAGAATTACAAGTTATGAGTGTAGGATGCGGAGGACATGATAAGGTGAAGGCGAAGAAGTACCTTTTGATTTTGGCGAAAACACCTTCGACGTTACTGCGGAAGGGCCTTTGGTGTAAAGGCGGCGACGACCAGAAAGGAAATTTCAGCATTTGTACCACCAATTCACATGCGTTCACAATGCAGTTAGGGTGTAGAAGAACATTAGAAGAAATAGTAGTTTTGCGCCGACATTTCACAAAAGTGCATTTTTCAATTGGAATTTAAGTGAGGATGGCGAGTAAGAAATTGAAAACGCAGCAATGAAGCGAGCTTCGAGACTTTGATTTTTGGTGCTGAAAGTACCCGAGTTCAGATTAAGAGCGTATCGTCAAGGACCGATAGCTGCCAAGCTCAATTTCTTGCTATGAGGTTGGAATTGGATTTCTGTAGCAATTGCAGAGGAATGACAATAGGGATGTGCGCCGGACGCCAAAGGACTTCGCGGCAACCCTGAGAGTTGGACAATTGAGCACTAGGCTCAAACCTTGGGGCCGTATGCAGGTGAGCAAGGCGATTACACTTACGACTACCAAAGCGTGAAGATGACCTAGGCCAAGGAGAAGACATTCGCGAAGTTATTCAAAACATCTCGCTCGTCCAAGAATGTATGGCGGATGAAAGTTTACTGCGATCCGATGAGACGCAATGTGGTGATGACACTCATGCAGATTCTGCGAACTTCAAGAACAACGTACATGGCAACATGGTAACTCGGGTTTGTGCATCGCGCAGTGAAAGGGAAGCCAATTCACTAGGCTCGCATTTTCTAGGATACCAATCACAAAAATGTCAAGGAAATGTTAGGAGTATCGATGAATTACCTGTCACCATTCTTCATCAACTTCTATTCGAGATATGGGATTGCTCACTAAAGCATATCAACAGAAATTTTCGCTCGAGAGGGAGATTGCGGGATCCTATGACGAGGAAGTGCTGGGAGTAAATGAAGTTGTCAGCGAGGAGTACGACATTGAACCTGCACCGCCTTTGGCCGAAGTTGACATCGAGGAACAACCAGCGAAGAAGCGACGGAAATTGCATATGTCTTAGGCTTCGGAGGTTGTGGGTCGACGTGTAGGATTGCGGGCTAGGAGATCAGTTCCTACGCGGATGAGTACGACAAGTACGCATTCTTGTAGTAAAATGAAGGCACGATGCCGACGGAGAGAGTAAGAGTACAGTAGACAGTGTAGCGAAGCAACTATCGCAACATCAATTGACTTCGGCGGAATGGATTGAAGTGGAAGCGCATCAAGCCGGAACATAAGACCAATGACCTTCGGCGAAGGAACTTTCGCCTTCAGAGTGACGACCTTTGGACATGACTATGGATGGTCCTTTGGAGAAAGGCGAAGAACGAAAAGATAAGACCGAGACGGAGACTTCGAGTCAATGTCTTCGACCTTCGAAACAACCATCAACGCCTTCGGCTGAAGAACTTCGACCTTTGGGTAAATTAACTTCGGATGTGCTACAGAGTTGGAAGAGTCGGCAGTGGAGCCAAATTCAGTTGAAAAACTTCTGCAACGAGTGATGACGGAAGTGGAGAGTACTATCGAGCAATCAACAATGCCTTTGTGTCAAATGTGTTTAGGTACAGTCGATTTTGACTGCGGCGAAGGGCCTTCGGCGGAGGAGCCGAAGACGACAAACTTTAGTTTAGCTGATCTTTTGAGTGATAGTATAGTTCACTTAGTCTAGTATTTAGTTGAGAATATGGAGAAGTACGCGGAGCCAAAGTTAGCAGGATCTTATGTACAGTTAGCTTGATGTATGTAAAGTCTTTTGTACTTTGGCTTTAGCGATAGCATATGTTTCTGGGAATGACATGTGCTTGAGAAGTAAAACTTTTCAATAGAATATTAATTCGTGAAAGTAATTGAATCTCTGGTGTTGTTTTCTGTACTCGTGGGATTGGATTTTAACATTATGTTCCATTTTGGAATATATCTGTTATTACAAAAAACAATTGTACACTTATCCTCGTCATATGTTGATGTTGGTATCTCCACCTGCGCATGTGTCCATACCTATGTGCTTGTGGAAAGCCTTTGTTATTTCCATCACTTTCAAGCATCTGCTCTATATGAAGAAAAGATGAGTACTTCCTGCTTCGTCTCGCACAACCACTTCATGGGGATCCGAAGGGACCTCTATAACTATATTCAGCTCCTCCATCACGACGTATCTGCCATCAACAAGACATTGCTCAGTCTCAATCCTCTTCTGATGGTAGCCTTCGACATGATATTCAATTTCTCCCCTCGATCTACTTCGATCTGACTCCTCACTCGATCTACTTCGACTACAATGCTGCACGAACTCGAGGTATCTTTTTTGGCCTGCTCAGATACAGTCAACGCGCCACTTTCAGGTGGCAGTCACTCCATCCTTCTTCCCCATACTCTGTATTTGCATTCGCCTCAGACACGCGTACAAGTCGTCCGTCCTGACAGCCGTCTTTTGTATCAGCCAAATCTGCCCAACTACCTCGAGATAAAAGGATGTGTCCAAAATTCTGCTCCCACTCCGCCATCACATCGCGGAAGGAGGGTTGTGATTCTATGCAGCAGTGGTGGACTCGGGTTTCCAGCTCAGCGAGATTGAAGAGCGAAATTTTTTGTCATACGTGGATTGCAACTGAACCCTGTCATTCATCGCGTTTTTTTTTTTATTTCTTGAGAATGGAGTTTTCCTGCTCATGCCAGTTGGTTGGCTTGTCTCCTCTCTTGGTGGTGTTGAGGTAGCAAACAGAATTGTTGTTGGTGTACCTGGAGCTGAGTGAGGGAACACCAGCGGGCGGGTCCATTCGAAGGCGTTTGAGCAGCAGGAAATGAAGTGGTCATGCGCATTTATGGTGCTCGCCTGCCACGTAAGGAAGGAGGGAGGGAGGGAGGGAGGGAGGGCGGCTGCTGATCCCGAAGATCAGTAGTGACCCATGGAGAGAAGTGGAGAGGGAGAGAATCATTAGCAGCACATTGTCTCGACTCCAGATGTGCTGAGAATGATTTTGAGGCATTGCCCACAAGCGCGTGATGTCTTCCGCCTTTGTCTCATTTCACGTCGAGGCCTGTGGCTTGTTGCACCTTTTTCTTCGCCTTCGTATAACTTCTCCACCCTCTGGTCTGCAATCTTTCTTCCGACCTCCATCACTGTGACACATGCGTACCCGCATCGAGGTCCGAGATTCAATCCCTTCTTTTTGTGTTCTATCTAGATACTTCGACTCCACGCTTGACCAGGTTCTCGATTTGCTTTCGTCCTTTAGCTTTTAGTTGGATGAAAATTAACTTCTCTCTCTCTCTTCCACTAATTTTTTTTCCTCATTATAACATCAAATGCTCATTATTCAAGAGGGTAAATGCCAGTGTGGCGTAGTAGAGCGTGATAGATGATGTAGTTCAATTGCTTAGACTATAGAAGAGCGTGCTTAAGATAGGCTGTCAATAAAGTTGAGATCCTTGTAGTAACTTGCGGCCTGGTGGATTTCGACTGATGTGTAGATTGGAATCATGAAATGCACATCCTCTTGAGAGAGAGAGAGGGAGAGAAGGAAAGAGTTCACTTTCAGCTACACCTAATGTCTTTACATGTGGATTTATCCCATCATGTTGTAAGAATTTACATAACTTCCACAATCCAGTGCAATATAAAGTGGAGCCTCAAAGACATGAAAATTTGGCGCCAGCTTTCAAATATAAGGCATGATTGGAATTTACTGTCGATTTGATATGGCTATCAGCACCATATCTTCACATGCTTCAGTCCTAGATTCGGCGGACATGTTCGCAGATCAGGCCCCGAGTGCAGTTGAGACAGGAACGCGATGGCACCAATCAAAGGGCAAACACTTTTTACATGCAAAAGACGATTGTGTGCAACCTCTCAAGGACATGGTAACTGAAAAGCGCCTCGTAGGGCAGAGGACAGGCAACATTAAGAGCCAAAGTTCGTTTCCATCTCTCTCTCTTTCTTTCTTTCTTTCTTTCTTTGGTGTCAGCGCACTCACTCCTTCGTTGGAGGTCTTTCCGAGAGCAAAAGCGCGATCCGTCAGAGAAGCGGAATCATTATCTGAACGAAACCCAAATCTATGAAAATTTTTTCTTGAAATCTGTGCAGGCCTCTCCATTGGATGGATACTTTCGTCTTCTGATGGCTGTAGATGTTGTAAGGATACAGTATGGGCTATTGGGTGCAGAGGCCTTATCGAGTATACCTTTTCCAAGCCAGTCTAGTACGGGCAGTGAAGCAGGTACAATCATGCTCGTAAAGCATAAAGGCACAGCTAATCAGGGACGAGAAACCATCAACTTAAGGAGCAAAGGCCGGATGTTCAGACTAGTTTCTTTTTCAAAACCGGCCTTTCCTACAGCGTTTTAAGCTGAAGAAGGTTCTGGACTCGTTTTCTGAATCGCGTGTGAATATAAACAGTGACGAGGAGGTTATTTCGTCCAAGGAATCCCGTACATGCTTTTATTCTTCTATGAACACGAGGAGACTTGGAGTTGTGTGCGAACTCTACTGCACTCGGTCTTCTGCTCAAACCACACGCGCACATCTTGTCAGGAATATGCCTTCCCGTCAATAGTAAATTTTCTCGCACGTGTTGCGTGCGTCGAATGGTTCATGTTGTTTTAGTTCAAGTGTGCCATTCAGTGGCCAGTGCAGCCAGAATAACGAGTGACAAAGGGGGAAATTTGAGAATTCCGTGGCAAACAGATTGGAATTGGTGTTCAATGTGCAACTGACGTCGAAGATAAATTCCAGAGTCCATAACTGTTTAAGCTTTACGCTTCCACTTGCAGATCAAGAATGAAACGGAGGTGTGCTTACGACAATTTCAAACACGTACGGGAAACACTGGAGAAGCCTTAGAATGGAAGTAGAATCAGTAAAGGCCGAAGCGCGAGGATATTAACCAAGGAAAACACTTCGCCTTCCTCTTCACTTCAACTGCGCAGCTATTCTCGGATTGCTGAACATAACACGTGAAGACGGAACGGCATCTAATATGCACTTGAGATTCACAGGACACCTTGATATAATCGGGTCAGGTCTTCCGAGGTTTACAGCTTCTCCAGGGTCTGTTTTTGCAGAGAATCTCACTTTATGCGTATGGAGATAGAGGGTGGGGGTTTTCGTAACCAGAAGTTCTTTGTATGTAGACACAACACCTAGTAGTGGTTTTCAGATTCAGATGCAAGCCATGTCGAATCATTGACGAAGAGCAATGATGTTCTGGACATGATACGTAAGCCTCCTGTTTACAGTCTGAGGATGTAAGCCAACCATTAAATAGGAACCATCACGACCTGATCAAAACATAAATGGTTCATTACATCGATCAATCACTCCATAAAGCTTCGAACAAGACCGGGGAAACGAGTCCACAACGCAACTTGCTAGGAGGCATGATAACATAAATCGAGTTCATGACCCTGTCCATGTGACGCGCTTCAAACCCACGAATGAAGGAAACAAGCGGGCAACAATGGAACCGTCAGACAAAGCGCGTAGAGCTGAAAAAAATAGTTCACAATTTCTTTAGTTCACAATTATAATGATGGTGATCATGATTCTCACTTATCTACCATGTACAGTAATACAATACAAAGAATGGAAATAAGATATACAGAGCATGCGTTTTCTGCATGTTTTTCTCCTAGCAAGGTCCCAAGACACATTTAGAACGTTGGTGGTGGTCTGTGCCATGCAGCGGCTTACTACCGTAGCTATTTACAGGTTTGGAGAAATGATGTACCGAGGGGTGAGCAATCCTATATGGCCTCGGTGTGGCTCTCCTTCCTTCTGTGTTGGAATTTCCAACACAGGATCAGCCGTTCAAATGATACTGGCAGAGCGGTGACTCTAACCAGCCAGCCTCCAATAGATTTCTAGAGCTATTAATCAGTGCAGCTATGCTGCTTCCATCGCTGTCGACACACACACCACGGGGTTGCCTGCAGACCTGTAAAATTCTGAAAACTCCAGGTGGTTCAGGGTCGTCCGTGGGCCCACATTGCACTGCCGATTTTGTCCAACCCGTCACCAATTTTCGCCAACGCACCTATATATCCATTCCCCAGCTGCAACTGCAGCTCCATGGTGGCCTTCAGTTTCTCCCTCTCAAAATCCAGCGTCTTTTGATGCCGGATGTCCTTCCTTTTCTCCGATTCGCGCAGTGCAGCCACCATGTTCTTATTGTTGCGCTCCAGGACAGCTGCAAGACTATCAGCCATCTTTATCATGGACTTTCTTCTCTTGCTCGATCGTCCAGTATCATTCTCGTCCGATTCTCCTCCCGGGGAACCAGAGAAATCCAGATTGGCTGCGGCTGAATTGCCGTGGAAACCTCCGGTGATGAGATCTGAACATGATCCAAGAGGCAGTCGGTCATGTTCAAAGCAAACTGTTATATCCAAAACTACCTCGATCAACTCGACACGACGTCCAGACTCGACCTCAACTCTTATGTGATCTCGTATTCTCGCTTGGTTAGGTGTGAGACAAGTTCGTACGGGCCTGCTTCTGATCATACAGAAATTCATCAATTACAGGGTGTGATTCATGCTGGAACCAAGTAGCAGTAGAGGAGAAATTCAAAGTTCAACGACGAGAAGCTGCAAACTTTCGATTTCAAGGTAGCTTCGGATAGTATGAGCGACACACATTGAACATCGTTGTAGGTGTATAAAACATTATTCAGGTGTAAGACATGCAATGTTCTAAGAAGGATGGAAATAAACAGGCCCGCATTCGTTCCTGAATACTCGACGAAAAGTTAGAGAAGGCTGAAAGGCTTCATCGTGAGTTTCAGGAAAACACACCCGCGACCATAATCGATCCTGGCTTTCGGCATCGCTCTCATTTAAGACCTCACGGTACCCGTCGCTCACAAATCTTGCACTTTCAAAGTAGAAATGGCACATATCATTACTCCCGAAAATCACGTTTTCAAAACTTTTGCAACGCCTACCGAAGCTCACTGGAAACTCTAGAACTTCAGACTCCTCTTGATTGAAGAGTCCACGAGTTCTGTTCGAGCGCTGCAGTTGATTATTCATATGGATGCTTCTATAATCAAGAGCGGTATGTAGCACAGGGCGCTGACTCACCGGTACCACCGGCCCTTGAGGGAGCAGGAGTATCGAACAAAATAGTCACAGGTTCGATTGATCGCAGATTGGTCTTGCCGTACCAATCTCGGAGTGCTAGAAACACTTCTTCGTGAAAATTAGGAGGCAGCTTGTATTTCTTCTTATCGTCGGAACCCATTTGCCAGTAGGATGGCTGCCCGGGAGGAATGGCCTTCTCGTAATCATTCACTTTCTTAAATTCGGCGGCGATGCATTCCCATTTGTCCTGACACTGGGCAGCGCTCCGCTTCACTCCTTGAGCCCAGCATTGGTCCTCTATCCACCTCCACCGCTCCTGAGCCGACCTGTGCTTCTCACCGATCCCTCCCTTGGCCTGGCGCTCGAAATCCTCACGGCGCGAGGCCTGCATTACCAGCAGCTCGGCCACGGTCCACATACCTTTGCGGTGCGAGCGATTCTTCGGATTGTCGGAGTCGCCCATCGATCCAGCTGCTAAGACCATGACTGCATTATCCTGACTCATGCCACCGGGCGTGGTGGGGTCGTACCCTGCCATCGAATACACTTCTCCAGTCCTTATTCCTTCCCTCCCGTCCTGTCTACATTCAAAATCGTAATCGCCTCCCTAGCTGAAGCAATCTCACGGGCCTGAACCACAAGTACCACCGCATTGAGCCCAGCCCAGCCCAGCCCAGCGCCGAGGCCGTAGCTCCACTGCCGGCACCTGCGATTCGCTCGAGCTCATGCACTCGAGCCAAGCTCGGGCAGCCCCCGCCTCCTCCTCTCTACGATGTCCTCCGGCCCGTGGCCGGGGCTCGCTTTACGCGCTTCGGTTTGGCGTCGTAGATTCTGTCCACTCTGGTCTCGGGCTCTTCCTCCTGCGCGCTCCCTCTCACCATTCGGCAATCGTCTGCCCTTCTCCCCCATCCAAAGAAATCTTGCCCCTCCCCCTCCCCCTCCCCTTCCCCCGCCTCGGAACGTGGACCTCTACCCCTCTCTCTCTCTCTCACTTTCTCTCTGCGGCAGCACTCGTTCGTGAGCAATCCGATGGCAGACGACGGACTACATGCACAGGCGAAAGAAAGGTACGAGGACGAGTCTGAGCCCGATTGCGGGAATGAGGAAAGAAAGAGAGAGAGAGAGAGAAAAAAAAGAGAGGGGAGAAGACGAGGACGAGGACGAGAACAAGAGGGAGCGACGTTGCCCCTTCCGCTATTACTGCACTGCACTACACGAGCAGAAGCGGCACGACGACGACGACGACAACGCACTGCTCGCTTCCCTTCCCCTGTTGCGCCTGCCGAAGGTGCTCTGTATCCTGGCGCGCGGCTGATGAGGCTGATGACGTCCAGGCCTCTGCTGCTCAATTCTCGTCTTCTCTCCTCCTCTCAGCTCTCGAGAGGAGAGGGGAGAGGAGGAGAGAGAGGAGAACAGGAGGCCCGAGTGAGCGAGCAAGCGACCGACAGACCCACACAGACAGAGAGAGGGAGAGAGAAGGAGAATGAGAGAGGCAGAGTGTGCCAATGTCAATCGGGCGCCCCCCCCCCTCGTTCCTCCGTCGGGCGCAGAGATAGGCAGAGAGAGAGAGAGAGACGAAGGGGCTCCCCCAGCCCTTGCCCACCCCTCTCTTGCCCGCCCGCCCGTGCTGGAACCGGCTGCAGCCCGCGCTGGTCGGTGGGGCCTTTCGCAGGCACCGGTCAGGCCTAGCGCAGCAAAGTGCACACAACCCTTTTCAGACCGCGCCTTGATGGAGGGCGGGGCCCTTGCCATCCTTTATACGTCCGGGGCGGGGGAAATTCAGAGCTACGGTCGCTACGACGAAGTCTCTCCTCCTCCGTCTTCGGAAAGGGAGCTTTTTCCCAGGCCCGGCTGCTTCATCAATTCAATGGGTGGATTGCAGTCGATCATCATTGCTCAGGTTATGATGGACTCGTGGGTCTATCTACCAGCTGCTCGCCCCTTCGTCCTCCCCCGTCTCGAGCCTGCCTCGCTCTGCTCTGCTCTGCTCTAGAGAGAGAGAGAGAGAGAGAGAGAGAAAGAGAAAAAGAGAGAGAGAGAGGAGTCGTGTCTGGATCCTCGCCTCCCCTCGTCCTCGTCCTCCTGGGGATGGGAGAAGAAACTTCTGCGAAGGGATTCTAATTATGGCGTTCTTTGTGAGGCATGTGCTGCTGCTGCAGCGTACTTCTCTTCTTCTTCGTCGTCACTGCTGTCTGAACCTTCGGGTTATGGCGGCTCTCTCGCCTCCAGTCGCAGCAGCAGGAGTTGTCGAAGTGTCTGCCTCAGACTTTTGACTCCTCCCTCCCTCGAGGTTCTGGATGTTGTCTGTCAGGATATGGTTTCCTTTCCTCGTACATCAGTGGATGTAAATTTATTTATGATGCAGATCATCGAGGCTGCAAACGATGAGATGTTGAGATCTTTCAACTGCCACAGATTCTTCCTTGTTCCTTGTTCCTTCTTTTTCCTCGTCCTCCTTGCCTCCTTTCGCTGCTCTCCTCCTCAGCTCACCGGGAGAATGACGAAGAAGATTTCTACTTCCTCTCGCATTGACCTTAAAACCGTGGATTGAGACGAGAGTAGATCGGAAGCACCGGGTAGTAAGCTTTTCCATGCTCGCTTTTCCTTGTGGATCGCTTCGCTTGTTCAAGCTGTTTCATGTCGATCCAAGTCCCATGAACATGTCGAATGAGGACAAGCCTCAGAATATTTAGTGCCGATCAGGTGGCCGAGTAAACAATCTTCTATATCTGAATGGAGACATTTCATTCTCAGCTCATTCTCTACGTACCCCGAGGTTCTAGGATCTTGCAATAGAGTCGCATCGATCGATCATCTCTCTGTCTCTCACTCTCTCTGAGAGCGTGGTTCGAGCTCATGCTCTCTTATCTGCACAGCTCAGCTAAGCTGCTATCCTAGGGGCCGGCCATATGATCCCCGTCTCTTGAGTGCGTCGAATTGTCGTCACCGATGATTTCACCGTCTTCAGTGCAGTGGTGCTGTTTCCCTGTCTCTGGTTCTGGACCTTCAAGACTTACGGCACAGCCAGTTGCTTTGCCAAGCTATTCTGTTAGTGCAGTGTTCACCATTACCATTCATGGATCTGGATAGACATCTCAACCATGTCTCCGGATTGCATGCTCGAAGTTAGACTAATACACTGCACCTTAAAATCAAGTACAAAGCTCGAGACATGACATCTCGATCGAACGCCCGCTTGTATGCTCGTACATGGGTTGACATTTGAGCCGAGTGCATCCTCTATGCAAGCTCTGCTTGCATATGAAGGCGTGTGGACTGCAGCTAGCGCAGTTGAAGGGATTTCGATTGCAGTAAGATTATTACCCGATTAGCCTCAGAGGGACTAGTACAATGTGGTTGGTCATCTCGAGTGCTGAGAGGAATTCCGAGCCTTCTGAGCTCCGAGAGAGAGTTTGTTTAATGCTCGTGTTGTCCAAAACTGAGTTTGTACAGGAGTTATTCACAGAAGCAGTTGCTAGTCATGGAGCAGATATGAACAACTGGAAGCTTTAGGATGCTCGTCGGACTTCCAATGGGGGCGTTGGTTGGTTCCCATGCCCATCATTTCGTGACCCTCGGGTTTTCATGTGCCAGTGTCGCCAACTGGCAAAGTTGTGCTCCACTTCGACGAGATTGTTCCTCTACGCGAAAAATTATTTTTGGTCGAATCATATGCTCAGAATCTGATCATGAGCACACAGCGACTCCGCAGATTCCACGGGTAGATTACTGCTGCTTCTGAGAGCGATGGAGAAGCACACGTGACACGGGCTAATTCTCAGAACGACTAGGGTCACATGATCTCGTCGCCTTCATAACTTCGAGGTATGAGCAACGTCGATCCTGTCAATAGCAACATGAGCCTGCTCCGCCGGCACTGCAGCCCACGGCTCACGCAGAGTGCAAAGTGATGTCACCACCGTCAGACCCAGTTGAACAGAGAGTGCTTCTATTATGGTCCAACGTAGGAACTGGAAGAAACTCCGAGGCGTTTCTTTTCATGGATAGTCAGTTCAGCAATCCACCATAATCAATTGGTGTTGTTTCTTATTGGATCGAATCAATCTGAACGACGGTACCGCGTGTACTCAACATTTCGAGCCTGAAGGAGAGGAGGTTCACTTGTGGAATATCACTACGATTGTGATCCTGACCAGAGTTCTGCGATTGTACGGTGTGGAAGTCGCTTCCCTTGTACATCTAATTAGCATCTGCCATTTTCGCACACACCTGCATGCTTGAGGTGCAGAGTACATCAGCCTCTGTTCATTTGAGACCAGGAGCTTCCGGAGTGCTCTTTCAGGCGCTCAAGGCCCTGCGCTCAAGGCTACTGGGTCCTCATCCCATATCTACGAAGGTCTTCCAAAACTTTGCCCAGCATGGATTCGGACACGGCGTCTGCTTCGTGCCAGCCAACCATGCCTTGCTTCCTTGGAGGCAGCCAGCCTCTGTTCACTTACGAACCTCGATACGGATCACAGGGAGGCGCCTGTTAAGGTTGCTGCTTACGAATGTGGGATGTTAACATGCACGTTTATGAAATGACGTGGGGGATATCTAACCTCTAAAAGCAAATTGGACTTTATACTCGAAAGTCAGCCGTGAGGATGTCATTTCAGCCGTAATTCCTTCCGTGTGCTGTCTCAAGGATGGAGTCGAATATTAACCTCTCTGCGATTCCTCCGATACGTGTCACTGAACGGGACCGATGGAGGAGTTAAATCTCCACAAATGTATAGCATTGCATGCTAGAGATGCAGCCGTCAGGGGAAAACGGTGTCGGTTTCTGGCATTTCCTCGCATCTGGATTGCTTAAGGGAGCTCGATCCTCGACATCTGAGATAACCGGGTCTGACAACATGTGAGATCGTTAAGAAGATGTCTTTCTGAATTGGATGGGCGGAGAAATAAGGGTTCATGAATCGCGTTGAGACCTTGAGATGCTGCTGAAAGAAAATAATTCGCTGTCAAGATATCTTTCACGCCAGCCATTGTATGGTTGCAGTGTATCATGTCTACGTACATGTTGCCAGGATCGATAGTGGATGAGATGCCGCTGCTTCCAACTGCAGTGAGATACAGCGTATAATGGGGCCAATCTGTCCATCAGCATTCATTTGTGTGATCCGGTTGGGTCCCAGGGACTTCCATCGGTTCATCCATTCACCCTTTCAATCTGATATAGTGATCAAAAGTGAAGTCCGATGAAGTAAGGATTACGAGGGACACTTCAGTATCTGCAAGGATCTGTCACCTTCTCAGTAACTAAGATCGCCGTGGAAGGTGAAGGTATATATCATTTCGCGGCACTCTGTACGCCACCGCCTCTCATGATCACATCCCTCAGCTTCAATCAGGAGCAGCATGTTTCCATCGTCAAAATGACTTCAGCAAAATCTTTGAAAATTGAGGTTTTATCGAAGTCAAGCTCTCGAGTCTCCAGGCTGAAATATGCACTCCAGCATCCAGAAAGGCTTTCCGTTTCTGCCGCCTTCGCACGTGAAATGCCTTACTCATCTGTCCCTCCCCTGGTGTCGCCGTCCGATCTTCGTTTATTCGCCGAGCTATATAATTTTTCCCTTTCCTAGAGAATCATCCCCTCCCTTCTGCATCGGTTGGTACGTACATTTGTCTGTAGAGGAGCAAAGCGCAAATGTAGGGACCGAAGGTGAGGCATGGATGTGGAAGCATCAAGAGAGTTTCAGGAACGTCCTGCTTCGCAATCTCTCATGGCTCTCCTGTCCCGCCCCGCTTCACGTCTTTGAAGCACTGAGACTCCCGATTTGTGAGCTAGATTCAAAGCAAGTCTGTCACAGTTTTTTGTTTTGTTCCTGACTGACTGTAACTTCGTTCACGTCCGTACTTTCAACATTGCTGGACGAACGGAGCTCCTCATATTCGACCGCATGCAATGCATCTATACTCACCGTCTTAAGCGTTGGATGTTCTTAACTGCTCTAATCAACCTGGCGATGCAAGGAATGAAGGGAGCGGGGGAAGGCCTGGGTCGGTACAGGATTGTTATTACCTGATGAGACGAAGAACTTAAAGTACTCAGAATTTCCATTTTCGGTTCTGAAGGAATAAAGCAATCAGTCGAGAAAAGACGTCAGAGTTTGAGAACACATCGCACATGATTAGAATTTGGAGGGCCGAAGGCAAAGTTGCCCCAGAAGTGAAGGAAAGAAAAGGTACGGCACTAGAAAAGAAATTAGATGATTTAGGTGTTCATTCTGCCTACCGCGAATGGGAATGAATGCCAGTGATGACAAGGTGTAAGTGTCAACGAGATGGACTACTCAAGACAATGGAGAAACAAACTTCTGACACTTGGAAGCTCATGTTTTGAGGCTCCTTCTCGCAGTCGCATCACAGTAAGCCACGAAGATACTCTGTTCTGTACTTAAGGTTCATGCCGGTTCTGCAGTAGAGAACCTGAGTGGATTCCATATTGAGAGAACGCATCTGACCGTAGGTCCCAAACCTGGGGCCGGTGACTCATTGGGTGGAAAGTGCGTCACTTGGCGATTATCTGACAAGTACACGTAGTCGAAAGTATCGGTTGAACAACATATGTGCTACTATAAATACCATGCACGCAGCCTGCTGATAAGCTTCCATATTGTCAATCATCGGAAGCAAATGCGTGCGTTGTTCCTCGATACACGTCCTCGTGGGGCCAAAGTCTATTCGATCGTTCTTCAGAACAAGTCTTTTCAGATTTCAGCCGCTTAACGGCCAGAAGATTTAGAAATCTGAGTAAGACCTTGTCCATGGTCATACTAAACAGAGTCCCAGCCGAAGGAACTGTCTGTACCGAGGAGATTCCTTGCCATGAAGGAGCTCCTCAGTGAGCCGTCTCAAGGGTTGTGATACCTGCTTTTGCTCAATGAACTGATCGATATTTCTCGGAAAACTGGTTGTTTCTGTGGAATAAAAACAGACGTGGAGAGCAGAAAGTGGTAATAGCTTACATATTCGTCATGTTGCAAAGCCTTGCAGTTTATTGCCGGTGGTGATCCAAAATCCTCTCAACTACATCCTCTGTTTGGCTGATGTGGCAAAGGATGGCGCTTGACCTACAAAGAGTGCTTGACTTGATAACAAATATATTCCACAACACAGGTGAGACCTGGCAGAGAACTTCGAAGGTTTGAAATCTCGGCGAGAATATCACAGTAACTGCAGACGCACGAAGAAAGCGTTGGATACCTCCAGACTTCTAGACCTACGTTGTAGATCCGAATCCTGAAACCTGTAGGGTACGACACTTCTGTGCCGTACGACGCCTGAGAAATGTCTTGAACATGTGACACTACTTTGGCTTCATTATTCCCACGATAAGTAAGAAGCCCAATTGTGTTTGGCCCTTGTACATGTCACAAGACCGAATGTACGAGTCACACCTGGACCGCTAAGGAGTTGCTTGTTAGTTGTTGTTGTTCGTTACAATGCATGATTGCAAAGGATTGATTGTTAACAAGGTAAAAGCGCCTAGTCTGGTTGGTGCTCGTAGGGGCTCATGTTACTGTCAACGAACAGTGACAGACTTCTACATCGCTAAGAAAATGATTGCTTGTTTGCTTGTTTGTTATCCAGATTTGATAATCTATATTACCCTCTGCAGAAACAGACATCCCCCACTGCAGCTCTAAAAGGTCGTCCCGCACATCGTTCGGCTCTAAAGGCAGAGCCTGCACCGGTTGCTCTACTATGATTCTCCAACTAAGGGCCTCCTGAGGGTTTGACAGTGTCATCCATTCCTGCTGTTCAATCCTTCAGTTCAGTTCACACGGCACTCGAACCCTTCTTCTCAAATGCCCAAGTTAAGCCCCCTCCTTCTCTACGTGTACATCCGTCACGAAGGGGAGGCAGTCGATCGAAAGAAGGTTCCCAAGGTTCATGTTCCCAATATCGTCCCGATTGACTGCAGGATAGCGTTCGTGTCAAGCTTCGAGCTTCGGTCGATATTTTGCGCGCAGTCTGCGGAAGAAAGTTGCACTGCTGCAAGAGGCAAACAGAAGCGTGACTTCCACAAACGATGGTGCCACTGGTTGCTTGAAGTCCGTGAGCACATAGACGGGCTTGCCGTCCAGAGTCTTCAGGCTCAGCATGCCAGTTTCCCAGCCTTGGGGGGTTGAATCTGAACTGAGTTGACTCCACCATCGTCTTTGGTGCATATCCGAATCGTCCCCGACGTTATTCTGAGCCGGGGTCGAGTTACTACCCAAAGCCATAGGAAGCACCATCAAGCCGGACAATGCTGAAATGAAACCTGTAAACATCGACTAGCCCCAACAAGTTCACAATGAGAAATATGTCACATGCGTCAGACCATATCGTATCAAGGTCAAGCGGTGGATCATCAGCTTGAGCATCCGAAGAATCATCAGACTGATTGCCCCAAGTGACAAACAAGTATCACTTGGTTCGGTGCATGGTCTCCTGACTCAGACTCGAATCTGAAGACTGCCCATCTCTATAGTGAAGAAGAAGCACTGGACTTGACCAAAGATGAACATTTCATCAATGATAGTCGACGGTGTGCAGAGGATCTATGAGCTCAGAACTTGCTACAACTCGAAACAATGGCGATGCAGATCTACGCCCAGACGATGATCGCAGCCTTGAATTATACCTGAAAGATGATGGATGCATTTGACGAGCAAATAATTTCTCCTCGCTCTCATCCCCGAGATTATTATTAATGAGCATCTTCTTCCGCGCCGTCGCATCTGAAGGACACCGTCGGCGACCCGGGCGAGAAGAACGGGTCGGGTGATGGATGGTGACACCCGTGATTGCGGATAAGATGCTTCTCTGCATGTCGTTCTGACCCGCTCGCTTCGTCGCCAAGTCAGCGAGCGAGTGGCACAGCACAGCGGTGGCGCTGCGAGCCGGCCGTCCTGCGGGGAACAGTGGAATCCGCTGGTTGCGACTGGTGACCGGAGGTGAGGATTCGCCGCGAGAACCGGGGCCTGGGGCCCTCGAGTCTCGATCCACTTACATGGCACCTTTCTGAAGATCTTTTCCTTGCGTATAAAGCATGTTTCCGCTGGTTATGGCGATCCTACCGCAGATCATCATACGACCGTACAGGTCCGCGCGGACATTGGCTCGACTGTGGTGATCCACTGGTGCGTGTCCACCGCGCAGCTATGCCAGCATCCATCAACCACGTACAGTCTCATGATGGCCGTGAATCGCAGCTCTGCTCGAGCATCTCGTGCCGCTGCCTACTCGGACTCCGTGAAAATCAGTGCTCCCCGGACGAGCTAGAATTCCAGGTTCACCGATCGTCGTGCGCAAATCGGAGTCTCCAGATCAAATTTCGGGACCCAGTTTTCAGCAGACTTGTTCACCCAAGTATTGGAATGTGAGAATTGGGCCTCCAGGCGCTGACAGTGAATGCCCATCGGCTTGGAAACTCGCCTGCAGGTCAAACTGTTCCATCTGAAGTCTCATGCGGCTGTGACAGACGAGGGCTACGAGTCTACGAGACCGAGGATCTGCAGACCTGCAGTTATGCAGTCTGGGGTTCACCATGTAACGCCTCAGTGACCCTTCAGTTCTCAGCATTTACTCCCAAGAGAGTGTACAATACTCATCTCGTGCCCTCTGCAGGTTTTCACCAACATTGTAGAATACTTTTTTCACCTCATGTCTTCTTCTTGGGACTTGTCACATGTGTAGTGCTCAGATAAAAAATTGAGATCGATAATGATTTTCTGTTGGATCCTTTACAAGAAATAAAACCATCGTGGATCATGCGTGAGAACGAAAATTGATTGACATGGCAAAGAGGATGGGAATATTCCGTAAGTAGTCAGAGATGAAACCAATGAAAGTTAATCGGGCTAGGCACAATAGCATCATAATTGCAAAAATGTGCAGTTAAGATGTCAACATCGATCAGTCTTCATGTTATTGAAACATTTGAGGGAAATAAATAGTACAAAAGAACACTTGTCCTATTATTATTTGTTTCCATCTCAATAATCTAAGCCGGATTTCTCGTCGGTTCCTTATTATATAGGCTCATAGGCTTACACTCTCCTCCCAAGGTCAAAATTTTTATGGCTTGTGATATTTTTGGTGCACTTCTTTTCTTCTCCACTTTCTCGAAGATGAAGTACAATAAGTTAGAGTGATATTTCTAAAGCTGCACTTGAACCGGAGTCCCTTTACGATGATACTTTTCGCTCCATGAGGTTTGGTCTAGGGCTCATCGAAGTAAGATGGAGAAGCTCTTACCCAAACAGGAGCCAATTATCACAGGAAAGCAATTATTCAGGGAATCTTACAGGAAACCAATTATTAGAGTTCAATACTATCACATAACCGATTACATTCAACCAAAAAATACAGTTAAAACACCTAGATCAGACGTTCAATAAGCAACATGACTATACATTGCCACATCTATGACAAGATCTTGCGGATAAAATATATTAGTGCTTTTTGTAAATCAATGAAAACACATTGGAAGAAATGTATATCTCAGTAGGTTTAAAATAATACATCGTGTCACCTACTAGAATGAATATTTGCTCAGTCTCTCACTAACATGTCAAAATCATCATCCATAGCCTCATATAAAACAAATGCTAGGAAAACAAAAAGCTTACCTCTCTATGCTCCCAAACCTGGAGACATTAGCTCTTGCCGCCATGTTCACCTACTATCGAAGAAGTTGAAAGTTCATAACCTCAAAACATCTGTTACGCCCAATGATTATAATTGTCACATTTGCAGAAGTAGCTTGATAATTGTAACCTAGTAAATAGATGATATAACACTTCTTGACTGACTGTAACGCATACCAGTTTTCACTCCTTGTTAAATTTCCTTTGTCGCTATGGATGAAAATTTGTAAGAGACTTGGTATTTGCAATAACACCTAGGGTACACATCCGATTGCATAAACTTAGATAATACATCCCTAATGACATTGTGCATATCTAACTTTGACCTCTATATGTACATTGAATCATGTGAACACTTGCCATAACTTTATGAATAATCTTCTAAATATCTCTTTACATCCTCCTTGCTTTGTTTTAATGCTGCACCACATAGTTGTCGTTTATTTCAAAAATCAAAATTTTTTATTTTAAGTATATGAATGCAAGAGAGAAGACTTCTTAGCTCGAGCACTTGATGTTACTAGCTAATGTCACCTCAGGTCAGAGAGTGAGGAAAAATGCTTATAATGTTGGTTTATTTAATCTTGTGATCGGAGATATTCTTGGTTACTGTGAAGAGGTGACTGTAGGCCCATTCTTCGCGGTATAGATCTTTTCTAAAACACTGAAGCCATTTTACGGCCAGATCGACGGTTTATGTAGAGACGGTGCTTGTCATAAGACTGGATATTTACGACCTGAAAGCACAGGTCTCCAGCAAAGAAACGTATCTTTGAAGGTATGCCGAGTTTATCTTCTACATAGATTTCGAAATAGAAACTTTTTCCAGGAATTTGTACATCGACCATTTTCCCGAAAGGTTAATAGGTCAAAATCACATTTCAAGCAAGAACGACCTAAAAAGATTTGATGTCGTCCCCGAATTCGTCCGCAGGACTTGAAAACAAAGAAGGGGGATTTCTTTGACAATAAAATAGAATCATAAAATGTGGAGTCAAAAAAGGGGGATTTATTTCACAATAAAATAAAATCATAAATCGTGGAGTCGTAGGTCGACTCCACTGACTCTACGCCAGGAGGGAATGAGGAAATGTCAGGGCATAGGCTCGTCTGAGGCCAACAAAGGCAATATCCATCGTATACAGAGAACTTCATCCTTTGACTTGCGCTCTATTCCGGCGTACAAAAGCAATGTCCCTCGGATCCGGGGATCTTCCAAGGCTTGGGGACGAAGCAAATCCGCCGGATACAGAATCGGCGGAATCCAGCTTGGCAAGTCTCCGCGGGCCCGGAAAGGAAGTGGGGCCGGCGACGCGTGGCAGCGCGAGAGCACGTGTCGCCATCGCGTCAACAGACGCGCAGGGGAAGCTGTGACGGGACGGTGCAGTGGAGTCGCAGAGCAGATAGCGAAGATCCACGGGCTCAAATTCTTCAGAGCAAGAGGCGGACAGCGCGAGGGCGAGGAGGCCAATTCGACCTTTATAACGATTCGGCCATCGATCGGAGGAGTGGGAATGAATACGAGGAAGCAGCAGCAGCAGCATTTCGTGCAGCGAGCGTTGTGGACGAGAGTTATCCTTTTCGTGTTGGTGGTGGGAGCGGTGTGCTACGTCGGAGCTTCTCTGTGCGACGCAAAAGAATCGGGTGCAGATATGGCGGGGTTGATGGGCGCGCCCAAGGATGTGAGCAATGCTGAGAACAGCGTCGAGATGGACGATATGGGTCGATTCGCCGTCGATCAGTACAACACTAAGGAGGTTTGTTGTGCTCTCGTTTTGCCTATCAATCTCGCTACCAGATTTGTCGCTGGTCCTTTGATGTCTGCCCAGCATCCTCTTACGACTAGGAGTTGCTCAATTCTCAGGGCTTTCAGTATCCCCGGATCTGCTGTGTGACGGATCATGGGCAGTTCGATATGATCGGTGAAGAGCCTGTGGCAAGCTCGGATCCGAGCCTTAGGGTTTTAGACGTTTTTCGTGAGGACTCCGTTTTCGAACCTTGGAAGCTCTACAGCTGCTACTCCGATCGGGGCCTTGATAGGGAACTCCCCTCGTTTTGTCCGGGCGTGGTGATTGTCTGTGCGTATCATGTACGCATTCTCTCGAAATGCGGCGGTTTTTAATCCGGACGTTGCTTGATCTGCGCAGGGAAAGAACTTGTCGTTCAAGAATGTGGTGTCTGCTAAGAAGCAGGTTGTATCTGGGACTATGTACCACATGGTCATCGAGGCCCACGGAGACGATTCTGTGAAAATGTACGATGCCAAGGTGTGGCACAAGCCATGGGAGAACCACAAGTCTCTTGAGCACTTCAAGCCTCAGGAGAGCTCTGCCAGTAAGTATTCACCTTCAGCTCTCTACGTTGCCATGGATTGAGAGCCTATTTCCTGCTCCATATACTTAGCGTCATGTATGCGCGTCCTTGTATGAAGAAGCCGCTCGTTAGTGGCAAATCGGATCCGAGGATAGTATCGTAAAATCGCCATAACTGGACTCTGGAAAGTTGACAAAATCATGCTGAATAGTGGGAGGCGGCTTGCGCTGTCAATACTTTGGCCTTGTCTCAAGAAGTCCCTCTCATCAGGGCAGATCAGTCGAATTTATGCGGAGAACTTGCTGTCTATCACTGGTTAAGAGGACATGAGGCTCCTGCCTGCCTGATTTCTGAGAGGAAATGCTCATTTTCAATACTGAGGTGAAGGTTCAAAAATTATGGTCGATGTAAGAACTGCTTAACATGAGGAACAGAAGTAAAAAAAAAATTAGTGCACATGATTACACCCTCCAACTTGTAACCTTGTTGAAATAAATTGTTGGGAGTCTTTACTTCGTCTCCCACCACGATATCCTCAACTTTATTGTGGATTGTTTGTAATAACTCTCCTCGAGCATTTCTAACGTCTATTATAACTATCCTGAAGTGTAGAAGCCTTCTCTTTTGGACTTGTAGCGTCTCTGTGGTGTGGGCATTCGCTGGGAGTTATGTGTTTCAGCTGTTAACCACTAGCTTGCAGATGCGTTGTTATTGAAGGAACGTAGTCGGGATTGTGGGTGATGAGGGAGTTGTTAGTGAAATCTGTTAGCTAACGAGCCTTGGGTTGGGTCCTAGATGACTCTCCAAACACTGAGGTAGCAGGTATGCGGTCAGTCCCAGTGGGGGATCCTGTGATTAAAGAAGCAGCAGAGCATGCTTTGAAGGGATTAAACGATAGGTCCAACTCCCTTGTACCTTACGAGCTTCGTCAAGTCATGACTGCACATGCTGAGGTTAGTCAGGTCTTTAAGCCATGCTGTCTTCTCGTATTTACAAGGACCCGAAGCCACTCGTAGAACTGGTTATGTTACTTAGCGCTAGCGAGGGTCGTGTAATCTTCACCTCGCGAGGTGTTGTATTATGAGGCAGGACGGTTGTTAGTCATGAATATGTACCTGCTGATATTTGGAAATCTTAGTCTGTGGAAGACAGTATCAGGGGAAATTTGGTCGTGTCTTAAACATCGGATTGTGGGGATATTGCAGGCAACTGATGAGCATACCAACTTTGACCTACATATTAAAGTTGCGAGGGGTGCTAAAGAGGAAGAGATGAAAGCTGAACTTCACCGAACTGCTGATGGGAAATGGTCTCTAAAGCACGCAGGTCCCATGTAGCTTGCGACAGAAATTCAGAAGCCCTAGGTTCCTGCATTTTTCGTCAAGTGTAGTTTGTAAAGATCTCGGTCCGTAAATAATCCCAGGCATGAATTTAGGTGTGTTAGAATCTCTTGTTGTAGCATAGAAGACGAGATATATCTTGTGCTATATTTCCTTCAGTTTGCTGCAGACTTTTCTCGCACCTTGAATTATAGCATCAGCTTTTTCAGATCTCTTCAGTGCAGATCATACACGGCACTAACTCTGTAACGGATTTCATGTTATATATGCACCTGTACATGTGTGATCGTGATTGTAAAAGTATTAGATTTTACTCAGCTGGATTTTGTGGCGTGTAAAGATAATTTTCATAGTCAGCTGTTTCTTTCAAGGCTTTTTGGTTGTGCAAAATGCTCGAGACAAATTTGAGATAAAATTCGTTCCGAAGATAAGCTAAAAGTAAACATATTTCGAGCATTAAGGGCTAAGGTACAAATTCCTGGTCTCTTGTAAACTGTCTACAGGAAACTCAATTTGTAAAATCTCCGAAAGTAGGAGTGTAGCGTTAAATGAATTTGTGGCTTTTCACTCTGAAAGTAGCTGTATAGCGTTTCAGGGGGCTTCATGGTTTGATGAAAAATAGGTCTAATTTCTATTTTATGGTCATCTTTAAGAATATGCTTTATGAGTACGTTTTGACTTTGTATTAATAGTTGTTTTGATTGCGGAAATAAAATATGCTGGATTGTGTATGATATGTCGGTGTTCAACAGTATATTTTACAGTTTGCCCGACTATCTGAAGTTGTAGTATATATATGCTTTATACAGAAAAATTTAGACTAGTCGCAAGACATAAAATAATCTTACTGTTGAAAGTTTAGTCATTACTGTCAACAAGTGTAAAGGACGAGACCTGCTATAATAAACCTGTGAAACTTTGGAAAAATATTCTGTAGACAGGATTTGGAGTATGTTCTTGTAAAGCCAAGACGATATGAAAAATTGTAAAACATTAAAAAATTACTATGTAAACTTTTGAGTAAAATTTTTTAAATCAATGTGGAATTATTGTAAAAACTGCTTGTAACCTTGCTACAACTAAATTGCAAATGAATAATTCACGCAGCATATAAAAATATAAAAATATATACTTATACGGAATCTTGAACAACTTCCTTTCGTGTGCAGTATACACTCGCTGAACGTCCATAGGGCATAAGGGTAAGCTGGCGCTCGGACCACGAAAGAAAATTATTCTCTTTCGGCTTTTTGCTACCACTTTCGAAAAGAGCTTGCGTCCTTAAGTCCCGCAATCCGGGAAGTCTGGGGCGGATTTAATTGAGATGCGAACTAAGGAAAATAAGAGTTAATACACATGAATATTAAAGTTAGCATTTAGGAAATACATCATTTGCAAGGATGAGCGAAAATGTGATGAAATGCAAAGTTCAGAACTAACGACTAAATGACTAGATTGTTCCAAACCGACCAGTCGAGAAGGTTATTCGGAAATTAAAAGCAAGCAAAGATAAGTTTCGTGACCGAATTTAAAGAGTTGACCATGTCATTCAAAATTCCACATTTCGCTTCTTGCATATATCGTTTCCTGAGTTTGAAAAACGACTGTACGAATGGATTGATGCTGAACATCGAATGTTGCTTGTTTGGCCGCCCAATTTAAGCAAAACAAATTGCCGAGGCTATGGAAATAGTTGATGATAAGTTCAAGGCTTCCTGGGGATGGTTTTCGAGATTTCGTCATCTGTTTGGTAATCGGCACAAGCTTGTTTGGTGAAAGCGGTAAAGTTAACAAAAATAATCCTGAAACTCTACGAGCTTTGAATGAGTTATGTGCAATTATCAACCAGTATGATCTAGCTTGCATGTACAATATGGACGAAACTAGATTGTTTTTTCAATTTGTTCCAAGTTACACCGTCTTGATGCCAAATGAAGATACGTCAACAATCCGGGGCAAGAAAAAATCAAAAGATCGTGTGATTTTTGTGGTTTGTTGCAATGCCACAAGGATTGAACGAGTCCCAATCACCATTATCAGTAAGACGAAGGAGCCCGCATGTATTTCAGGAAACATCTGGCTAATTCCATATCTTCAGCAGAAGAACACTTGGATTGATGTGCCGACGTTCAACAAGTGGTTCGATGAGATTTTTGAGCCATATGTTTGTAAACATACTGGTCACAAGGTTCTATTGATCCTTAATAACACTCCTGATCATTCTACTGCCTTTGAGGGAAATGGTATCCGTGTTGCGTTCTTTCCGCCAAATGTTACGTCGTGGAAGCAGCCGATGGACATAGGCTTCATTGCAGCACTAAAAAAGCGATACAAATATTTGCTGCCCAAAGAAATGATAGCCTATCACGATAATCCGCAAAGTTTGAAGTATCAACTGGCAATAGCTGCATCGAAGTTGAAGTGGGACGCTTTAGGTATGTTTTACGTACATTCTTCACATTTGCTGGAAGCTGCAAACTTCAGTAACATTGCCTGGAACGAAATTTCCATTGAGAGTTTGAAAAATTGCTTTAAAAAAGCAAATATTATTTTTGTATTCCAGAATGTTGAACTTGGCAACGACAATGATGAAACTGTGGACGAAATTGCTCGTTTGTTGAGCAATTGTCATCTCTTGAGTGGCAATCAGGAAATTGACATTCATGGTGAAATTGAGCAATGTCTAATCGATGACAACGATGATTCAGAGCTATTCAAAAATACTCTTCTTGAAGCGATTGAACAAGTAATGGGTGACGTTCTTGTTTAGGACTCTATCATCTAATCCGAAGCCGATAAACCCGAACCAACCTCGGCTCACAACGACATTGATTAGCGCGATGTTATACTTCAGTTTTTAGAGAGTGCAATCAGTCTCTATGTCAATATGAGTGACCTGAAATCTTTGCCATATTTGTCATCTGACCATATAAAGCAAGCCAATGTAGCACTATTCACCGTCCGTAGCATTTTACAAACTAGACGATCTGTGATAGCTCGAGAACGAATTGAAAATAGCCGCCAAATGACTCTTTTTGATTCTCTGTAAAATACACTCTTGAGAATTGATCTAGTAATTGCTCTAGGAATTGCTCTGTGAAGTGCAGACTTAATTGGGATGCGGACTTAAATGAATGCACACTTAAACAAGTGTATACTTTATGACAATACTTTGGTTCCTGAAAAAACATGTTCATGTTCATAATGAACATGAACATTTTATTTAATATATGTCTCACTCATATTTCAAAAACAAATATACATTTACACTATTTTCTTACAAATATGAGGCCGTTGTTAAATTCCGTCATGACTGTTAATCAATTTTTTGTAATGGTATATAAAAATTGTCAAGATTGTAGAAATATTATTGAGATTTATTGGAAAGAAATAAGCAAAAAATTTCTCATTAAAAAAAAACAATTTCATATTTACTTAATCTTAAAAAACTATGGGCAGAAAATTGAATCAAACTCTTAAACCATACTTTGTAAAAGTATGAAAATTCATATGTATACATGGATCACACATATACATTATAGGAAAACAATTGACATCGAACCATTATTATTACAAATGAATTATTATTATAACCGAATCTAAAATTTCATTATTCATCACTCATTGAATGTTTTTGCATTGATTATAATTCTTACCTAAAAATAGTATAAGTTCATCATCAATAAAATAGATTACTATAAATTTTCATTATTGTATCATAACAATTATTTTTACAATTATAGCATAATCAATTCTTTTCATGATTATCAGGATGTACAAGTTAGCTCAATTTCAAAAATGTTAGTTCTTCAAGTGAGCCGCTAGTCATCACTCACTTTTCGCTATTCACCACTCACCCCCAATTTTAAAGAACATGAAACATGACAGCGACCCAAAGCAGCGCTTGCACACGCGCGGACGACGCCATCGCTGCTTCTGTTGGCCTTGCTCGGCTTTCCCTTGCAAAACAATGCTGCTTGAACTCTCACTCTCACTCTAAGACCGGCAAATGGTCGCTTTCGAGCTAGGGGCCGGCACTCTACCTCACGGGACACGGGCCCTTGACTCCGTCGCGCTCTGAAGTCAGCATTGGCCGCTAGACCCCAGCCAAGTGCAGCAAGCGGAGACCCTAATACTAATCGAAGCGCGAGAAAAGTGCGCAGGGGTTCTTTAAATTGGGGGTGAGTGGTGACTAGCGGCTACCTTCTTTAATAAAAAACAATGTTTCAAACTACATATTCTTATTTATCCACATTTTACATTTCACAAGGTGGAAGATGATACTTGTCGGAGCTTTATCAACATCAGCTTTATCTTATATCTTAGCATTAATCCAACCATTACATCGTTATCATCCCAATATTTTCACAATTATCTTGATTTGCAGTATCTTTGTTTTATCAATAACCTTGAGGAAAAATGTCATCATCTTTCTCATAGTAACCTTGTGATTATGTAATCACGTTAGAATTGAAAGAAGTGTCATTTATATGTTCCGAAGTACCTTTACATCTCAGAGAAATTTCTAACATTTATCTTAAAAACAGATCAATTTCAACTCTCATGATTGATACAACAACATGAGAGAATCCAAAATATCACTTGTGGAATCATACATCCACAATCGATCTTTAATATGCTTTAAAACCATACCAGGCAAGCTTATTTGAATAAGCGTGTGGTTCTGTAGAAAAATGAACAATATCCACTCATCAAGATATAATGTCTCTTTGGGTTTTTATATTGGTTGATACATTTAGGTTACTATTTGTCTTGGAAATTGTACTTGATGTGTAAATGTTACGACTTATTTAATGTTTCAATTGCAAAATACTCTTTCAGATTTCTAGATGAAAGATAATTCCAATTTTTGAAACCACCGGTTAAGTACACAGTATAAGTTGTAGTTAAGTCTAGTTATCACTCACCCTATTGAACAGAGTTCCATGATGGGAGAATTAGTGCACATTAACCTAGGATGAGGGATAACTAGCATTTCATTATTTACATACACATTAAACTTACGTTAGGGAGTCTCTTCTCCCACATGAAGTAACAAAAAGCTCACTAGTGTAAATCTTTCAAATTGCCCCAGCTGGACACGAAGAACAAAAGGAAATCAGAGCATTCTCTGTATCGACCGTTGTCTATAAAACACGTAAGATATAGTGCCTATGAGTCTAAGCGATGGTAACAGTTCTTGTACAACGAGCACGTAATGAGATTCTGCTGCACATGAACTGCCTTATGTCTGGCGCAACACGTTCCACGCTGGCAAATCGGCCGAACACCTAAACTACTTTTGCATTTAGAAAACAGCGGAATTCGGTTCGAGAGGGAGAGGAAAATGAGAGCTCGCCAAGACTTTTGAAACGTGTATGAAAATATCATAATTAAGCTGCATGGTCATGGCTTAAAGACATGAAGGAGTGCGTTTTAAGATTTG